CCAAGACCGTCTGCAAGCCATGAGTTTGTTTTTTTGTCTGTTTTTTTGTTTTGCAATTTCACAAAATTCCTATGCCCATCCTGTCTGGCTCATAGTATTCCTTTTATCGTTCAATTTGCTTCTCTGCTATCTGTCGAGCCCATGGCTGTGAGGGACGGAATATTGAGTTTTGAAGAAGGTATAGGCAACTGGAGGATGACAAACAAAGCAATTAACTTTCCAACTAATAAATACAAGTTTATTCATAACAGTTTAATTGAAATTCCAAGAATCGAAAATGAAACAATAGATGTGGTGGATGAGTGGGACACCAAAGCAATATGTAAGCAAGTTGAAGAATTAAACCCATGTATGATCAGAGCAAAATTTGCGGGATCAGGCAAGTCATATATAGGACAGTATTTTAAGAAGATGGGTAGAAATGTTTTATTCGTGGTGCCTCATAATAGGTTAAGTCAAGAAATAGAAGGTGATTCAACAACCTATAACATGTTCTTTAGAATCCCAGTTCATAAGGGGGATGAACTACCAGAGTTTGACCATCGTGAATTTAATGTTTTATTTTTTGATGAAGTCTATATGACCAATCTATATATCTATAGTAAGTTTTTCAACTCTATTGAAAAACATAAAAACAATAAACTCATCATAGGAGCCGGTGACTGTAATCAACTTCCACCAATCAGTGATTTAACAAACACTCAACCACATGATAAATATGCTGACCAAATGGACAAAATCTTTAAATACAATAAAACATTTATTTCCAGGGAATTGATCTTGCTTTGAACATAGAAGATTTTTATGAAATTTTTCCAATATGGAAGTATATTCTTTCTTTAATGAAATATATTCATACCACCAATAATACTCATTCTCTAGGATGGAAGCAAAACTCAATTAGAATTCCATTTGCATTGAATTGGAATCAAGTTAGAAAATTAGATATATAGATCAATTGAATTTAAGTTATATAAAGACGTTAACATTAGAAATCACTAACAAACCAATTGGAAATTGGAATAAACACAATTACAATGTTTAATGCAAAACAAAATGAAATAGAATTAAATGAGAAATAGATTGGAATTAAATTAGAATTGAATGAATAATATTAAACCAAAATCCATTATTCAAATTGAAATTGATCTAGACCTAAGGTAGAATTGAATTAAAGATATTTAACCTAGGAATTAATTAATAGAACAATATTGCAATATTGATATAAAATTATGTTATAAATAATTCACTTTAATAAAAATTGCAAATTCATTTTGAACTCCAATAAGTTACATTCAATTTAGATCTAGATTGGAAAGAAAAATATATTGCAAATTCACATATAAATTCAATTTGGAACTTAATATTAGATCCAGAATAATCACAGATAATTACAATTACAACAAAACTAAATTAGAATAAAATTGACCTCTAATTTGATTATAATGAATTTTAAAAAGACGTAAACTTAATTTAGAATAATACAGAAACTTAATTTAGAATGTAATTAGGTTCAATTTAGAATTGAAATAGAAGTCTATTACATATTCAAAACAAATTTACTTTAAAATTCATTGAGATCCAATTTTATTATCAATAAACATAGAAATGAAATAAATTCAATTAGAATAAATATTGATTTAGAATTTAGTTGAATTGTATTTAAGTCAAAATTCATAGAATTAAAATAGAATTGAGTCAATAACTATTTAGACATGAATAAGAAATAATGCTCGTCCACATGAGAACTTTTGGCTTTGGTATGAGCTGAAAACTTTCCACAGCAAGATTTGGCAGCTTGAAATGCTTAAAAAGGTGCACGCTCACAGTGACGAGCTCTCTAGTTTTTTAGGGCATAGTGATGCAAGTGATGTAATTGACCGCGAGCTGTGCATCATTAGCATCACAAAGGGCTGAGGAGGCCATGTAATCTGTGTTACGAGAGGGGTGGGAGTTCACGTCGATGAGAGGAAAGGGGAGACAAGGGGACGTGAAAAGTTGTTGGAATTCACCCCATACTTGAGAGCAGGAAAGAGAACACATTGCAGTCGCGGGCAAGCTTAGGGTTGCTTGGGGCACCCTTTTCAGTTGCCAGACTGAAGAGGGCACTCCCTATGCCCTATGCGGTGGGAGTTCACGTGGATGAGACAGGCACAGCGGTGCCGGGCAGGAGAGAGAACAGATTGCAGCGGGCAGTCGTTGGAGGCGGAAGGCATTTGAGTTGCTTGGGGTGGCCTTTTTTTATCCGTGGCAAGGTCTAGAGTCTAGTTGCCGGGCTCAAAAGGGCACCCCATATGGGGTGCATGATGCCATTTGTTGAGGGCATGCGAGAGAACAGATTGCGGCGGGCAAGTGTTGAATTGCTGACCGTTTCCCAATTCAACAGATTGTGTGGGAGGAGTGTGTTTCAAGAAGTTAATGGCTACTCTTTCGCGGGTTTCTGTATCCGAGACTCAACGCGAAGCCAGCCCCATGATGCAAAACGATTTGTAGCTTGCCTCCATCGGAACCTGCCCAAACATGTGGAGGGTTCTCGAGATGTTCTGATCCTGGATGAGATGGTCGCGTTTTGGTGTTCACATCCCGAGGTGGGAGGCCACGAAGAGTATTGAAAACTCTCAGCAGTTGCCACTTGGAACAGATTTGGAGCACCGCTCTTCGTGTGTGGGTCAGTTATATAGTAGTGAACAAGATTTGTTTGCCAAAATAGATGGGTATTATCATCGTATGATCCTGATTTATTACTGCAATATGGCCCTTTTGGATGCTACTTGTGGCTTGGGACAAGTCTTGGTGTTCTGCAGTGCAGGTCCTTTCCTGTTTCCTTTTTCCGAAGGCATATGGACCTGCCATTCTCAAGTCCGCCTTCAACTGAGCTGACACCAGGGATTCGACCGTCGCCAGTCGCGGAGGAAAGCTCTCGCAATGCTGCTTGGCATTGGCAAAGGCTGAATGTTTTCCAAATCCCCCCAAAAATGTCAGGTTACGAATCTTCTCACAGTGGTTGTAAATGAAGCACTGTGACTCCGGTTGTCAGACGCACGGCTTCTTTGCAAGCACGCTCAGGCAACTTTGGAGGTTGTAGAGGATCCAAAGAGGTCTAAGCACAAGAAGCTTTCGGCGCAAAATCTCCTGGCCTCAGCCCGACGACGGAGCAAACAGAAGGCCATAGCCAGTGTCGACATGGCGACCTGGACAGAGCAGGTCCGAGAACGCCTCCGCTTCGATGCGGCAGCCAGCATCCCGGTGCAAGGTGTGCTTGCGCCGCAACGGCGGTGCTCCATCGATAGGCTGCGGGTGTTTTGGGTGGTGTTCTGTTTTTAAAGGGGGGAAATCTGCATAGGAGCAGAGATGTCAGTTCCTTTTCTGGGAGAACGCCAGGGCTTTGGGCATTTGCTAGCCAGTTCACTGAGTGTGGACGTGAGGACCGTGAGGAGTAGTTTTGCTGAAAGTCATGTGCTAAACTGAACATTCAATGGCAGTGCGATACTGTGAAGAAGGTTTGAAGAAATGCGCAAACAGCCCGTACCGGACCTCACACGCAGGTCGCAAGTTCCGAGCATTGAGCAGATGAATGGTGCTTTCGTTCAGGCAGTGACACTCGCCAAGGGCGAGCGGCATGCTTTCTTCAACCAGGCAAGCCTTGCTAGCCAAGCGAGCTTGTTTGCCCAGCAAAGTATGTTATGATGTGTGATGTAAGTCTTTTGATTAGTTTTTGAGAGTTTGCCACTTTGCTGGATACAACAGAGCCGACACAAAATCTAATCAAACCTTACAAAAGGGATTGGCAAAAGCGGTGCATTCTTTCTTTCCAAATCCAACAGAAACTCTGGCAACCGAAGGAGGAGGAATGCTATGATGTCGACTTCGAGAAACTGGGCCAGCGAACCTCTGAAGATGATGATGATGTGAAGTTGCCCGGAATGGTCACATCCAGAGTGAGTGGGATTGTGCCCGATCAACAAGGATCCGGAAGCGAAACAGGGAAGAAGAAGGTCTGGAGCTTAAGCAGTGCTGAAGTTATCAGATGCAAGATGTAGATCCCAGATATGATAATCCTGTAAAGATTCCTGCTTGGCTCCAGAACTTTGTATGGCTGCATTCAAGCTTTTCTTTTCAGTTACGTCATGGAGGTCACAACCCTAACGAACCTCTCGGTCAAATCTCAAGCTTCTTGGCTTGAACAGCGGAGGCATGCATCATTTTTTTCCCAGGGACGAGTTGAATATTTTGCTCACTTCAACGGCTTTGGTGTGTAATGCTGAAGGCACACATTTTGGACAAGTATAACGATTCTGCGCCTCCGGAGAATGTCAACCTGGAACGAGACAGTGGATCAATGCTGCTTCTGTCGAGAATCATTTGGATGCCGCACGACGAGGAACATTGAGAAGGGTCGTTAACTCAACGTGTTGAACTCAACGGAGTTGCCATTTCCGAAAGGCACGTTCCGTCCCGTGTTCGCCGATATTGTAACTGAGCTAGCTGCTGGAACACAGTTTAGCACCAGTCGTTGAGTGGCTGCACAGTTTTCCCTTCAAACGTGAACGCTTAGCACCAGATTCTGGTTTCTGAGGTTCTTGATCACTGGCCCTGTTGCAGTTTTACACGTCAGTGGCCAAATCTATTTGCACACCTTCCTTGCTGAGGGAGATTTCAGCACCACGGCAATCATAAACCCAAGAGCAAAGGGCCAAGAGAGGTGGCCAATTTGAAGAAATCTCACATCTATGAGTGACTTTCATTCTCTGTTGACCTCAAGGATTTGGTACACTAGGCTCGGAATTGATCTGTGGCCTCGCTGCGGTCATCACAGTGGCGTTGCTCAGGAAGAAAAATCGCTTCAAATCGACCAAACAGATTGCCCCCTTTTTGCATGCCCCAAAAAGACGTGTCTGCCCGAAACCAAACAATGCCCCGTCGTGACCGCGGGTCGTCCGACCGCGGGTCGGGCAGCCAGGAGGGCGCTGCAAAGCGATGATTTGAACTTGGCAGTGGACAAGCTGCAGCTCTTCGTGTCCGACTTCATGGTCCAATGGAGTGAGGCGTCTGGAAGTCCGAAACGAAGGAAAGAGGAGGGTAAACAGGGGCGGGGAGGTAGACATAGACGTTATCCCGTTTTGCTTTCCATGAGATGATGAGAAGCAGCCATGTTGGGGACACAGTTGAGAGCCGATGCCAGGTCTCTGGGAGAGAGTGGCGTGTGTACTTGATGGCGTGGTTGCTGATGGTGTAGCTCGTCAACGAGATTTGCCTTTCGCAGTTTCGATTGATCGCTTGTCCACGGCTATAAAGCGGGCTACTCTTGCAAGATCATTTAGTCGGAACCAAACTGTTCGTGCATGGATGCATTTGTTCTTTTGCATCGAGCAGCCTCAGACTCCGCAAGCCCTTGCCCTGCAAGCTTGTCCCCTCCTCCGTTCAAGTTTTTGAAATCGACGTGTTTCTTTTGCTTTCAACTTGAATCCCTGCTTCCAGCCACAGCCGATAAGGTGTTATACAAACAGCTAAAAGGTATGGAAAGCATGTAAAAATATACACTTGCAAAATCCATTGTCGACGTTTTTATGGCACAAGTGCATATACTTGAAATATGGGTCATGGTCCTCGTGTGAGGGTCGGCCTGCTGGCCTGCGCAGGTCCGCAGTGGGCCCGCATACGTAATACATATGTATTCTGTATTCTACTTATTTATATATGTCTATTTGTGTAGATATGGTATATATATATATAGATACGTATATATGGTATATATGTATGCGTGTATATGTATACCATCGGCTGGGGTCGGCGGATATACATATCTACATATGTATACACATATTTTGTATGTATATATATATATATTTGACATGTTTTTAGATCTTTTAAATATATTGATGTATGTTTTACACGTCAACACCGCTAACCAGGGGCGCAGCTTGGGAGTAACCGCGCTATCCCCGAGAGCATTCGCAAAAGGTTTTCTTCAAGGCAGACTCAAGCACTATGCACCGTTAACGCTAGACATACACCGGTGTATTTAACGCGAGAACAGCACTACGAGACTTATTGACAGACAAAGTTTGAGCGGGAGAGTATCAATACAAAGTCGGAACGTAAAGTATGAACATGGACACGCGTGTTGATCAAGCCTTGTCTTTACTGTAGCTCTTGTCGACCTTTTGCTGCCTGAGGTAAGCCAAGAGTGCAGCAACCAAATTTGATCCTCGCGAATAGTCGTAATGTAAACACTTGTACGTACTATGTATATAAATAGTTCTTTATATATGTACATGTACATACACAATGCATGTGTATATTTATATATACATATACGTGTGTGTATATGAATACATGTGTTTATATATGTATAGGTGCATACGTGCGTATATGTATGTACTTGTATTTGTTTTCTCTTTTAAAATCTGTTTTTTTGTTATCAACATTCATCACTGTTTATCAATATTTTTGAAAGTACACAACTATATCTATGTAAATAACAACTATATATATATACATCGCGTACGTCAACACCGCTAACCAGGGCGCCTGGCTTGGGAGTCACCACGCTTTCCCCGAAACCATTCGTGAAGGGTTTTTCTTCACGGCAGATTCAAACATGAGATGTCTCTTTACACACGGTTTCTTGACGCTATACATTCACCGGTGTATCAACACGAGAACATCACCGTGAGAGTAATTCACATAATAGGTTTTGAGCGCGAGACTGTTAGCACATAAGAGTATGAACGGAAAAGAAAGTAGTTAACAGTAAAAAGTTTCAACGCTAGAGTGTTACTGTAAGATAAGGACGCCAACATAAGAGTAGAAACGTCAACATAAAGAGACAAGGAGTATGAACACGAGAGTATCAACACCAGTTGTAATACATAAGTGCGTGTGCACTTGTGCATATGCTTCTATTTTTGCAAACTCTCAAAATGCAGGTGTCTAGAGTCTAAATGTGCATTTGTGTAGGTACATATGTCTAGATACACATGTATGGACATACTTGTACGAAGCACTTGTGAATGTACATGTGTGCGCAGACGCTTGACAACATACATATATGCCACCGAGCCCGCAGCCAGCCCGCGAGCCCGCGCGAAGTGTCGGGCCCGCAGGCCCGCGCAAGGTGCCCCGGGAGCACTCCCGAAATATGTGGCATCTAACTTAAGAAGGCAAAACGCAATGCCATTCATTGTGATACACTGATACATGCAAGATGGGAAGTTTGCGAGCTTTCGTTGCTCAATGATCTCTTGTGCTCTCATGTTCCTGAACTGTCTTTCAGGCATCACAGCCTGTGGACTCAAGGCTTCCAGCTCTAAATTTTTTCCTAGCTGCTTTGTAATAACTCCCAGGAAGATTTCATCAGACTGGCCTGCTTTCGGTCTGTCCTACTCTCAGGTGCTGCTTTACTCTGAGCAACGCCATGGACATGTCCCGCAGTCTGCCCCGAAACTTTGTGGCCTGGCTTGGCGGCAGAACCTGCCGTTTTCGCCGTGTGAGCTTTCGCCTGATGACTGGTACGGTCACCCGTTTTCGGCGTCGAGTCACCCGGCGTGTTGAGCTGAGGATTCGCTGCAGATCGTTCAGCTCACCATGAATGTTCCTTGGGGAGATTTGTGGACCTGAAACCCTTCAATTTTTGTGCTGTTGAAATTCATTTTCATTCATTTTAGGGCTGCTGTAGGTCCTATAGGCCTGACATTTGCAGCATGTCCTGTCCTGCAGTTTTCTAATCTGTCCGCTTCATCAACCGGAAGATGAATCCGAATCTTGAAACTCACCATGCGCAAACAGAAACTCACCGTGTTTGAACTGACTCCTCCGTCGTCATCGCGTAGTGTAGGAAAAAACTCACAGACGCAGCAGCATTGTTAATGTGATTGCTGTATCACTACTGCTGCCATTGTTGCAAACCTCGATGCCTTACATTGGCATGCACATGCCTCGTCATGCCCGGGGCACAATTTTTTTTGTTTGTTTTTTTTTTTCAGCCGAACTTACAACAAGGCATCATTATAATATATGTGCCATGCGGCCCTGCCATGTTCTTCACGCTTCCGTTTTGGGTGTTTTGCCGCTGTGAGGGAGTGGGCATCTTCATTTTCAGCGTGGCGAGCTTCTTGGTGAGCCTGGCAGCATATGTCCAATCTCATTTCCTTCTGGGCTTGGCCTCTTGGTGCGAATTCAGATCTGTAGGCCTCTTGGTGGATGACCCCCCCCGCAAAACAAGACAAAGATGATCAGATCTGTCCGTTGTTGTGCCACCAAAATCTTTCCAGCTCATACTCATACTCATTTTTCTGAAGGCTAAAACAGCACAGATGCGTTTCTTGGGAGTTGGAGTTGGAGGGATCTTCCTTTTCTCTGAACTGCCTCAGAGAGTTTTGCCTTGAACCAGCTGGACGCGTGGTGTACACCCCCATGTGCCTTGATGTGCCCAGGACCGCAGTTTAGATTGCTGGTGCTGCAGTATCCTCAATGATTCGGACTTTGCTTTGGGAGTCGAAAGTTGGAATTGCTTGTGTCTTGGTCAGTCTCAGTTTGAGACGGTTTGTCTTGAAGACTGCTATCATCACTGGCGGTATGACACACGCGGTTCGGAGGAACGCAGTGAACGTCGATTTCTGGACCAAAGATTTCACGTCCAAGCTACGCCTAGGCAAGCCTTGCTGAAGTGCATTGGACGAGGGATTGCCAGCAGTTTTCTGGCGTTGCAAGCCTTCGGAGCCATTGGAACCGAACAGATGATGTCTTGGCACATTTTTTATGTTCTTTTTAACACATAATATAAAACCCAGAAGGTCTTTGGGTCATTTTGGGTCCCTTTTTTTCAGGCACCCTTGAAATGAAGAGGGCCTTGGCGTTATCACAGGGCCCAAGTACAACCTTTTTTGGTTTCCGTTGGCCATCCAATCCTCGATCTTTTCTGCTTTTTCATTGTTCTCCATGTCTTTGCGTTGGGTTGCGAGGAATGGTCTATGTCTTGGCCTCTGCAGTGACCTTGGCGATCAAGGACGGCTTTCAGCCGGAGGTTTTTTTCGTGGAGATGGTCATAGCCCTTCCTCTTTTGGTTTTCTTCTTCATGAACATGCGAGCTGCTTGGATTTTCTGTGCAGGGTGGCAGTGAGTCAGGCAGATGGCTTCCCAGGTTTTCATCCAAGATTGCATACTAGAACGCTTATTTGAGAGACCACCATCCAGCTCTGTGGAAGTCAGAAGAATGCCAAAGATTTTGAGAAGACGCTTTCCAAATGGACCATGGAGTGAATTCTTGCATCTGAAATTCTTTCTAGCAAGCTGATGCTGCCACACAGGAAGCACTAGCACGCTTTCCTGGGCCGGAAAACCTTTCATTGACTGAGCTTTCCAAAGACTTCACTTGCCGACAGCTTTCCATGGCATCCCCCGACACAAGGTTTGCGCCCATGGGGCTGCTTTGACTGAGAAGTGCAGAGTCATCCCAGCATTTGTCAATCAAATTCCAACACAGGCGGGTGCAGTTTTGTTTTACTGCAAAAACGCATCAAAACGTGTAGGTTGTCAGTCTTGCGAGTGACGCTGTGCCACGGGCACTTGAGATGTTGATGCGACTTCTTCAAAAACGTGGGTGCCCGTGAACGCTGTGGGTGACTTCATTGTAGGGTGCTTTCAGGTCCAATGAGTAGACCCTCTTCCAGAGGGATCCAACTGGGAGGTCTCCCTATTTCAATACGCACGAATCCTGTGTGCACGTTCTGAATCTTTCTCATTTCCGCAGGAAGCCCTTGATGAGGATCGACAATACTTGGTCCGCTATGTCTCTGATAGTTCCGCAGGGCCCCGACCTTAGCCGCCGACAAAAAACGTCGCGCAGGGCTGGCGACAAGGTACCGGAACAGGGAACGAAACCCGACCAACTCTCGAGCCTTTCACCCACTTATAGAGACAGAGGCTATTCTTGGCACATGTAAGCTTTGCAGAAGTATGTGAGCACTTGGAGTGAGCACCACATGTCTCACTTGGGTCTGTTGTGATTGTGTTGTATGTCAGCCAAGCGCTTCCGATTCCAGCGCAGTTGAAGCTTCTGTGTGACAGCATGCAGGTTCTTTGTGAAAGATGCCAAGCTCACTCGAGAGATGTTCCTGAAGAACTTTGTTACCATCGGTGGTTTGCTCACTGGTGCAGCCGGTGTGCTCTCCCGAGTGGTTCTCGTTTGAGCGGTGAAACTGCTGACCTGCCTGGGTTCTCAAGGTCAAATGATTTGCTTTGCATGAACTTGCAGAACATTTGAGAAAACAGTCCTTCAAGCAGCAAACACAGAAAGACCCATGGATGTTAATCCGAGTGTTGAAAGTTTTAAAGCTTCTTTCTACCCTTAAGGCTTTTGAGGGGAGCATGGAAAACGCGTCGAAGACATCAGGGTTCTCATACTTTTCGTGATCGACCTCAATGATTTCACCACCTCAATAGACTTACAATACTGTATACAATTGTTGTCACTTGGTGCTGCAGGGGTGCTGAGCCCATGCTGTTTTGTCATTTTGACAGTCTCTCCATTCAGAGGAGCAAGGGCACAAATTTTCCTTGAACAGGGTGCAAGTATGGGTTTTGTGTCTTGGATCAGTCACCCCCAATTGACCAATCGTCTTCCTGGGGATGTTCATTCAACAGGCTTTTGGGGTGTTTTGACCTTGACCCTGCAGTCTGCATTTGCCGGCACCCAGGAGTGCCAAGCATGTTGCAAAGCAACCTCTTTTTAGAAAATTGCAATTTTTCACAACTCGTTCAGCCAATATTTAAAGCTGCTTTGGCAAATCCACGTCAAGCGGTTTCACCAGGGTCCAAGACCAAAACAGAATATGGCAAGGTGAGCCACATTTCTGCTGGACTGCTCACGACCATTGTTGGCAGATTGCGAACATTCGAGGAAGCCACAATTCCGGCAGATGTGTGAGAATGCACGGCCAATACGGTCTTTATGACCGAGATGACAAAGCGTCGAACCTTTTTCATGTTTGTTGTTCCACTCCACTCCCTTTCTAGTGCAGTGCTGGCGGTGCAGATATTGATGAACACGAGAAATTCTCCATGTACAATTTGTTTCATGTACTTTCTTGGAATGTTTCAAGTCTGTCTGACTGACCCAGCACCTTTCCATGGCTGAGCACCTGAGCCTGCGCAATAAATCAGTCGGGTATGAGCACCTCGTGCTTCGGAACAACAACTCTGCATCATGTGTCCCAGAAAGCAGTGAACTGTTGATGAGAAACAGTGCAAAACAACTTGATATCTAGGTTTTACTTTTCTGTAACTAATCAAGTTGATGAAGGCTTGTTGTCTTGGCAACTGTGGGACATAGTGCAGGTGACCACGAACAATATTCTCCGCTCTGCGATAGTTGGAAAAAATACAACTGTGACTATACGTGCAGAAGGTCTTGCTCGTTCACTTGCTATGATGTCATTCCGGCTGTGGAATTTCAAGGGGAGCATTCTGGTTGCCTTTTTGATTGCTCCCTCTGTCCAGGAGCCTTTGCAAGATGAGTTTGTCCCAGATTTTATAGCTTGAAAGAAGCTCATCCTCTTTTGACGCAGAATACACTTCAGCTTCCAGTCGCCCTGCTCCTGACCCGGAATCATGAAATGAGGTGGCTTGTTTGGCTCTTCAGAGAAGTGCGGTTGTGTGCCACCGAACCTTTCAGAGATGCTTTTCAGTGGATCTGTGCGATGAAGATGAGATCTTTGGTTCAAGAATCCCCAAAAGTGGTCCGCCCTGCCCCAGGCGTCGCCACGACCGACTGGTCTACTTTGGCTGACCATTTTGGCATCTATGGGTCTTCATGGGTTGTGTACCAAGATGCGCATCCAGGCTCAGATGATCAAGTTCATCTTGATGGTGAACAAGCAGGGCCAGACCCGACTAGTCTGGAGACTCAGCACGGCCATTCTTCGGCCACGTGCGAAAGCGTCTTGCGTCGCCCAAAGGGCTGACGTCTTTCGTTCGGTTTTTCTGAGGCTCAGTACTATGAGTTCCTGAGCGTCCGAGAGCGCGTCACGCTGGAAGGGGAGTTGATCCGCTGGAGTGCCCAGTGGTCGTGGTCTTGCAGTTTCTACTTGGTTTGTTTTTTGGAGCAACACTTTTTTCGATCCAGGGAAGCTTAGTTTCAGTTTGGTCTGGCAAAAAGTGAAACAAGTGAAAGGAATTCTGCTTGAAGTTTGTCGTCTGCCTTCAGGCAAGTGCCTTTCGCGGAGTGAAAGCCAGTGCTCCTTTGTGGAATACAGGGACTATCGCGTTGTTTACAGGCGGTCCTGCAAATTCCAGAGATGTGCTGGGACATGGCGTTTTTGTTTTCCATTCGTTTCCGTAACAACTGATGTACAGTCAGCATGACCTTTGTACAGTTTTTAACCTTGCCTGTAAGGAAGGCAGGTGTCTTTTTAAACCCCCTGTTGGACTCGTTTTCGGGGGTGACTGTTGGCCTGGAAGCAGCTTCTCGCTTCAAAAACCGCCAGGCGGTATGCTTCTTTGTATTTCATTGCCGGAGCCTGCGGCGTGCAGAGTCTGCCGTCCTTGCCTGTGGTCCTGCTTTGCCCGCAAGGTCGGAATAGACAACGATGAGGATTGCAACGAGCTTGCGATCTTGGAGTTCATCCACACCCTTGCTTCATACTCAGGAAGAATTTGAATGTTGCCCCCATGCAACTGCCATCCGATTCAATACCTTGTAGGAAACTCTAAATCTCAGGAGTTAGAACGAAATTGACTGTAAACCAGAGTCAGAGTATCTCAACTCTAGATTTCATCCGCTTCTTTTGGGTTGTTTCATGTCACTGCCCTGGGGCTTGCCTCCAGATTTAATCCAGTTTTGACTTCATCCACTAACTTTGGTTTCAATCTGGATGGGAGCCTTGCTATAATCCATGCAGACTTTCCCATGGCTACAATTTAGGTTCCACCCTTTTTGTTTGTGCCTGATGTATTAAAGGATTTACTTTGGAGTTGATCTTGTTGAACTTCGCATGTAAGTGGTTTGACTTTGGAGTTGATCGTGTTGAAATTCATATGTAAGTGGCTTGACCTTGGAGTTGGGCTTTAGTTTGGAGTTGATCTTGTTCTTCAAGGGTCTGATAGATTAGAGTCTGGATTGCAACGCAGCTGTGATTGCAGCCTCAATCAGATCAAAGCCTTGCTCCCTATCCTTTAATATAAGGAAAGGGGATGCTTTATTATCGTAGATCTCATGGTGATGCTGCAGTGATTGGTTTGGATCCTGCTGAAAATAGATCCCATGGCAATGCCGCAGTGATTGGTTTGGATCCTGCTGAAAATGTTGTGGCATTCCGTTGCGCCTCCTAGAGTGAGCTCGCAACCTCCGAAGAAGAACAAAGGAGGTGGTGTTCGCAAAGCTTGGCAAAGGGTGGCGACTTTTGAGACCAGTGATGACTTGAGACTTGCTGCTCGGAAGTGGCTGCGAGAGAAGGATGTTATCCATCGGCCCTCGTCCACTAGTAGCAACAAGAAGAAGCCATGTATCTTGGCTCATTGTCCGCCTGCACCGATTGCTCGAAGCAGTTTTGCGGCAGCTTTGACACCCCTACCACCTTAGTTGACAACAAGGACGGTGTTGGCCAAATTGCATGTGCTGAGTGAAAAGGCAGACATGTGGAATGTCAATGCCCACGTAAATAGGAAGATAGAATGCAAGATGCATGCTAGTTGAAAATCGATGATTAGATATGATACAGATAGATAGGTAGATAGATAGATAGACATAGATAGATAGACAGATAGGTAGATAGATGGATAGAAGACGGACCCAGGGAACTTCTGCAAGCAACATGATGACTTCCAAAGGCCTGAGCACCAACGGCAGAGTGGGAACGCCTAGCAGAAAGCGTTTCACAAGCGGCTGAGCGGTTTGACGATCAGCAGCTGAACACGGCTTTGGTCATGTCTCTTGAAGAGAACGAAGAAATGCGCAAAAAGCTTGCTGCCAGCAGAGCTCACCTTGCTCCGCCTTTCAGAGACCTTGGCCTTGAGCAAGTCGAGGCGCGAGGAGATGGTAGCTGTCAGTTGCTCGCTGTGTGCTGCAGCGCTGAGATTCCAGAGGGTGTGCAAGACTTTTGATCGCAGGTGGTGGCCTATTTGAAGGACTTCCGATTTTCTCTATTTCTTCAAGGTTTAGGAGTTACTGGCAATGCTTTGACAATATGCTGCGCCCCTCTTCTTGGGGAGATGAACTCACCCTTCAAGCCAGCACGCACCTACTTTTGCGATGAATTGTCGTCCAGCGATAACAACATTGAATCCCAACGAAGTTTTTTGCCACGAGCCTCATTTCGAGGGAGGCTTGGGGCCCTGAAGTGCACATTGCGCACGTTGGCCAGTCTCACTTCGAAGCAATTGCTCCAATACTATCGCCGCCACAGACACCGACGAAGCAGTGCAAGCAAGAGCCCGCTGTCAAGGGAGAACGCTGCAGTTAAACCGAGGCGATCTTGCGACCGCAGGCACCGAGTCAGTCTTGGAAAAGCAGGTTAAACCCAGAGTGGAGCGGCGGAGAGGAATCCGAGAAGACAGCATCTCAGACCCAGATTTCCAATTCATGAAAAGACAAAGGAACAAAGTAACCCATTCAACCTTAGATTCCAACCCTTTTCTACTACCCACTCTTGTGGATGGTGGTATGAACGAGCAAATCCAGAGTTGACCCTAACCTGCCTGCAGGTTCCACGCATGCCCGGTTAGAACCCTAAGTTTGGATGCAAGCTGCTGGAGTTGCTGGAGTGGTGTATCTAAAGTAAAAATGCTCCCCTCTTGGCTGTGCTGAACACAGCCTCAATGTCTGTTCCCAGACCGATCGTGCAGTCTCAGGCGCCATGGGAACATCATTTCGCTCCAGTTTCCATCTTCGAATCTCCTTCACCGAGACTGGGAGTACTTAGCTAGGTTGCACGTACTAATAGTAGGGCACTGTCTGATGGTTTTTCTCCCCGAGATTGTTGGGGAAAGCCCTGACAATACGTTTAGGGGAATCATGGAGAAAAACTTGGAACTTGCTCAGGCTCCTGCCAAATACTGCGCCAGCACATCATATATTGTTTGGGTATCAGCTTAACTGGATGACACAGTTGCTTCGCTTTGTGCAACAAATAGCTACAAAATGCTGGAAAAATCAAGAAAAATCCCCGACAGTTAGAAACATGTTGTTCACTCTGAACAAATGGCCCAAACCACCCAACTTCATGCTGATGCCTGGCCTACCTTTTGATGGCGGGTCATGTCCAAAAATGAAAAACTCCGGAACCTCCTCCTCAACCTCGTCCGGAACCTCCTCCGGAACCTGCTGCGCAACCTGCTCCGGAACCTGCTCCGGGACCTGCTCCGGAACCTCCTCCGGAACCTTGTCCGGAACTTGCTCCGGAACCTGCTTCGGAACCTGCTCCGGCGCTTGCTCCGATCTGCTCCGAAGTCTTTACTATGGCAGAAGACCCCTAAAGCTTTGCTGTTGGGGAAACATACGTCAATGATGCCAGACTTGCCAATCACTTCACAACAAGTGTGTATGCTATACGGACATATGACATATTTTTGTTCTGCATGTACGATGACCATTCTTTTTGCAACGACTCTCACAAACGATGTGCGAGTGAAAAGGCGTTTGCTCGAAGCAGGAAACCGTGTTGGATGAGCTAAGGTAGAGACTCTGGACAAGTGACCCTGCATGTTTGTTGTTTTGCTTTGCCCCTCTTGGTGGTTGTTTTGAAGTCCCAATCCAAGATGTTCGAGGCAGAACGTGAGTCCAAAGTGGGTGATTCAAGAACATGCAGGTACTTCGAGAACGTTTGCGAGCTGGATATCATGTCTGCTCCCTGCACCACTTCAGCCCAATTTTCAAACCACATGAGTTCAAAAAACGATTGGAACTGGTTTGCAGCGCAGAGAAGCTCGCGAGGGTCTTAATCACGGCAGTTTGCAGCTATAGTAGCACTAGCAGTTTGACCAACTTGAGGGTGCAGAGCGTGTTTGAGCTGAAAGAATCCTTTTTGCCAGATGGACTGCCCCACAGAAGTTGCTCGGTGCCCCGCCAGAATGGACTCGAATCCGCCGAAGCGAAGCCAGAAATTAACCGTTGAGACTCCAATCAAAATTTTTTTTGTCAATGTATTGTATTCCTGCAAGGATGATACCGCAGACTCAAGAATACCTTAACCGAACCAAATCCAGCATCAACATGCATTCACCACCCCGGCAGAGCGCTTGACGAGACTGGCGGAAAAGGGGCCTGGCAAGATGGTGTGGTGCATATGTGCCATGTCGAGGACAGATTGGGCTTGAACACAGGCGATCCTGTAGCGTTGTTCATGGCTCCATGAACTAAGCCTGTTCTTTGATGAGTAAATCAGGATGCCGATGGGCACCAGCAGCTCAGCTTAGATTAGAGTGGAGTGAAGCGTGCAACTGGTAGAGAGTTTCCAACTGTTTAAAGTGTTCTTCTCAACAAGCAGAGGAGGGGCGCGAAAGCATCGTGCCAAATGTTGCAGATATCGGTGCAGATACCGGGTATACCTGTTGGAGTCACTGCAACGGCTACAAGAAGTTAAGTTGAATTCCAGCTTTTGCTCGTCCTAGCCTTTGCTTTCTGAGGTTCTTAATTCTTTCCTCATGACAGTGTGCTGATCAAGGTCAATCTGAAAATCTTCTGAGAGATTCTTCACTTGTTTAACGAGAAGGGTTGAACAGGTGTGTTTAGCTACTTCGAGATGAGCTTTCGCCAGAGACTCACCACCGCAGGTGCCACCACACAAGGAGTCGCATTCATTTGGGCGACTTAGGGCAGTCGATAAAGCGTTGCCTTGCCAAAGCCATCCAAAGCCAGCAACAGACCTGATGCTGTCCTAGTTGATATTCAGTTCAGTGATAGTTTTGTGTTTTTCTAGGGTCACTTTACCCCTCGGTTAGTAGGGTACCTGTTTTAGTCCAAAATGACCAACATGAACAACCACTGCTGGAGGCATTTGCTTGGTACACCAGAGCGGCCGGCCGAGGAAACACGCTCGCAGCATCACCGGGCGGATTGCCCGGCTTGGCCGTGCAGGAGCAGCGACGGGAGTTGAGAAGTGAACGCTGAGGCCAAGTGGCACATTTTTGTCTTCCCCCGGGAAGGCAGTTCCATTGGTGACCGTTGAATGACGAAACATGACGTCCGTTGCCGTTCGAGCTTCGAAGCGCTCGAGCTCCGCGTCGCCTCCTGCATTTTGGCGGTTCAAGCTGGCGTTGTCCGCGTTGCTGTGCAAATCGGTTCCGGGACAGGCGGCTCACTTGGACAAGCTTTGTTTCCGGTGGTGCCGCGTTTCGATGTGGTGAAACACCAGCAGTTGGATGCCAAGGACATGCGCGCAGTGGCGAAGTTGAGGTGCTTGCAGGAGCTCATGTCGGACGAAGCAAGTCGGACAAAGCCGCAAAAGGGCTGTAGCAGACTACAACCGCTAGCATCCTTAATCGTTTGATATCGTTTGTATGCATCCAGGCACTATACATCTGCAATTGTATCTTCAGACCTCTTCGATTTGAGCTTTGACTCCAAACATGTCTTGCCCTGGAAGCGTCATGTTCCCGTTGCTTCAACGTTGGGGGCCCCGCGCTCAAGACTTGATGAAGCGCCAGAAGGGCGACGAGCTTTCTGGGTGGTGTTCCACTTCTCGCCAAACACGGCACTTGTGATTGGGCAACGAGCTTCCTGGAAGAAACAAGGGCAGAACAAGAAGCTACTAGGGGCTCCTGGCCTTACTACTAGGAACAAGGACACGACTAGCTACAGAGTTTCCAACCATCAAAACGCTGAATGTCCGCTGGGACAGGCGTTGCGCCGCCCTGCGACCACCTGGGCGGCCCACAATCTGCAGCCGAGGTGTGGATCGGTGGGTGGAAAAGGTAGGTCCAGGTAGGTGAGGCAAACTGTTTGAGAGTTGCATGTGAATTGAACAAGTTCATGTTTGTATGAGCACCTTTCGGAAGAAACCCGGACTTGCAAAAGCACCCAAGTCATTGTATGGGAAGCAATTATTACCTCATGTTTAAGAAAGGTGAAGGGTTTCTCAGTGTGGCAACATATGTCGGGGTTTTCCAGGAGCGGAGAGATTCTGGAGTCGTTCTTACCTCCTGCAGCTTCTTGGACATCGATTTTGTACCAACAGGAGTGTGATGCCTTACTTTTTTATTGGGAGTCTTCGCTGGAGCAGGACTCTCCTACTGGATGGTTTTGGGGTCCACCGCTAAGGCAGCAAAGCCTGCCACGATCACTTGGAATCTGCAGCTGAAAGATGTGCTGACGGGCAATTCATTGTATCCCTTGGAATCGCTCTGGGTGCATCAGGTACGCAGCCAGGGTGTCCCACCTTCATGATAAATAGAGTTGCAGTATGTTGCAGTTGGTTGAACCGGTTGCTTCTTTGCATGCGCATGGTTAAACATTGCATTTAGACCATACATAGCTCTGGCGCACTTCAATGTCCTTCTCCTTCCTGTTCGTCTCTTTCAGTGGTGCCATATCTTTAAACATGCGGAGCTTGTTGCAGGGAAGGCTGCGTTGCCGCCTGGTGGCCTACGTCCAGGGCTCCTGCTTTCACTTACGCTTACGGCCTTCTTGCGAGGCAGAAGCCGTTCACTTTAAGCCGCTCACTTTGGAAGTTTTAGACATATATGTGACAAAATATACACTATATCATTATGGATGAGAAACATTCGCTTGGAGGTAACTTGTAAAAGATGTTTTTTCATTGTTTTTTCACTATGAGACCCTTCAAAGGAACCATACGCTGGCGAGGCTGGCCATGTGGTGGAAGAGATGGAATTGCAGGCGATGCTGATGCTCGGCTGCAAGCCGGTCGAGTCGACCAGAACCCGGAACTTGGAGTGACACGACAGAAGTCAACCAAGTTGATGTGTCAATCACTTCGAACAGGTCCACAGCCTTGATCGCTTTTTGGATGACAGATGTCTGGCCACTCTGAAAATTTGCCGCACGAACGCCGCTAGCCATGCTTTTTGCTGGGCTGGAGGAATCTGTTTGGACTCACCGAGAGCCCTTTGAGCGCCTTTATCACAGAAGAGAACTTCCATCATAAGGCGGCTGAACTGCGTGGTCTGATGGTTATGGGAAGACAGACCAACACTGGTCAACATGAGTTGACCTTTTGACTGAAGAACCCATGTCCAGGCACAACTGGGTTAAGTTTTCCTAAAGATCTAAGAACCAAATCATTAGTGCGAGCGCTTCTTTAAGGAAGCTCTAAGCTCCCCCCGCGCCCTCAGGCGGGGACAGCTTCCTTGAAGAAGCGTGAAGTATCCTGCGTCCAGTTACTGGAAGCTAACTAGTCGCCCTTACTCAATTAAGTATTAGGAGGGCAGACAGGGGCCCCCACGGGCTACAAGAAAGAACCACACACAGTGTCTGCGTTGTTTTTCCGCATCGCCTGGGTCCCAGCGACCCGCCAGGGCGTGGCCGTGGAGCTGAGCGATTTGACCGACCGCATCCGCGCGGAGCTGCGCCTGCGCAAGTTCGCTGCGGTGCTGAGGTGCTCAGTTCGAGCGGTTCGCCGCGGTGCCGGGGCAGACAAAGAGCGTGGGCTTTGCATGGTGTCCTTGGTGAGTTGGATCAGGAAGATTAATATGATAGGCTGATAGGTCCTGCTGAACAGAAGGAGTGTAGCTATGACATTTGTGAAATTGGAAGGGTTTTGGCTGACTCTCACGGTCACCCGTAGAGGATTGTTCCAACCCTTCCAGTCTTTGCCCTTGTGTTGGTGACGTGAAACACGTCATTTTTAATGTCTGCAGGCCAGACATGGGGCACTTTGATGCAGCCTTAGGGCATGAGAGCCCGCGACTGGATCTCGTGACCACGACTGAATCGTCGGTGCCTGAGATCGAAGGGGGGCGATGTCCAAGCGCGGCCGCGGTGGCCGGCCCGCGAGAGTAGGAGAATCGCGAGGGTAGAGGAGTAGGCCATTGAGACTGAACAGATAGATACTCGGTCAAGCGGAGTCGAAGATTGAACGCTTTAGTTGGAGATGTTCTTTTCTTTGCTAAGCTCACCCCAACCATGGGCGGTTCAGCTTGGCTTCTCTCTTGGCACCGGTGTCAACTACCGGTGCCTCAGCGTGCCGATGTAGCCGCCCATCGACCTGCGACCGGCCAGGGCTCCCTCAGAGCTCGAAGGCATGGCACCCGCGTGCGGTCTGCGCGTGGAAAAGCGCACGCGCGATGCAGAAAAGGTGATGGTGCGCGCTTTCTCGATTTGGATTTCATAAAGTACTCCCCAATCTTCGACATGTAGACTTGAGCAGGCAGCAATAAACCTCTAAAGTGGGATGATTAGGCGTGTACAGTTTGATGTTCAATCTGGTGATGCCGCAGGTGAGCCTAGAACAGGTGAAGTCAACCAACGAGGGGGATGAGTGCAATGTACAATCTGAATTTGAAGTTTGTGTACATAGCAGAGTTTGTGTGTAAAGATGCTGACAAGCTACATCAGACTGCTCAGATCAGAAGCCAGCCATGGCTTTGAGAAGGTAATCTCTTCGTTGGGTCATGCTTCTCAATGTGAATGTTGACTCATTTGTCGGGCGGCAACAAGAGGCTGAACCCAAAGTCAGGATTCACAACGCCCAAACAATTCAGAGCAGGAGTTGGAAGTTGCAGTCGACGACCGCACAAGTCTCATTTGTTAATCGTTCAGGTAGGACAACTTCTTCTGCTCTTGCTTTGCACGAGGTTGGCATTTGCTTGAAGTGTATCCTGTTGCAGGAGTTTTCAAGCTGTACAGTGCTTTCACGATTTCCCTCTCCGGGAAGACCATCAATCGAACCAGGTGCAGATGTCTGTAAAAAGCCGTCGCAGCAACGCAGAAGGTGCGTGCTGAAGATCCGGAGGGACGACTCAACTTGGCTTGGCCAAGTGGAGCGACCATGTTCGGCTTCTTCGCAGACCAGGACGCTGGCAGCAGGCACTGCAGACTCTTCGACGATACCAGGCAGGATTGATCAACTGCATCTTGAACTGGGGCATGATGAGAGGAGAACAGGCGAAAGAGTGCTGATTCCAACAAATTGGTGGTGATCAGGAGCTGCAGGATGTCGACGTGCAGATGTATGGTGCACTCTTGGGAGCCACTTGCTGAAGGTTAGACGCTACTTTCTTGACTGGTTTGTTACACATTTAGGTTTGTTGGAGTCTGGCAGCTGTTTTTTTCTTGAACTGATCCAGACACTGGCGGCTCGTCAGTTTTGCTTCGAAACTTTGAGATTAGAAGGGTTCTCAAGCCAACTCCAATGGCTTCCAACATGCGTGCTGTTGGCGCAGCCAGTTGTGGGATGGCCAGTCCGGCCACGGTTCAATCCCCCATATCTCAGGCACTCTCGCGCGTTGGTCTGTGGGAGCAGGCCTGAAGTTGTGCGGTTTTGTCCGTTGGTATCATTGAGGGTGTTGGAATGCATCAAGATGCCAATGTAGACAAAAGCCCTTGGTCCAGTGGTTTCATACACTCTTTTTACATACGAAAGGTGTTTTTAAAAACACAGAGCATTGGAAGATGTGCCAATCTTGCAAAGGCACTTGGTATCATGCAAGAGCCGAAGACCCAGCCTTGCAGCTTTGGCTTCGAGCGATGCAGCAGTTGTCACAGTGAGTTGCAGCACGCCTCTGCCAGCTATTGTAGTACAGGAAGGCCTTTTGACAAGGAAACGGGGCCCTCAAGACCGTTTGGGGTATATAGTCCATAATGCAGCACCGCTGTGCAGAGCAACTTGTCCGCGAGAAACAACATGCTTGCTTGGCAGTTTCCCAAGGTTGGAAGAGCGAGAATTGCAGCCGAATGCAGTGGTGGAACTCACCTGTTTGCTGGTTTCAGACCAAACGGCTTCCCGATTTCAGAGCGAATCGACCCGTCCGCGCTTTCTTGGAACCCCGAACCCCAACTGTGAGGCCTGCGGAGCGCTCCTCCGTAGCTGCAAGCAGCAGGGGTCCGACCCAAAGAGCCCACCGAGACCCACCGGAACCCGCCCGTGTGGAGCGAGGCACTGGCAGGAAGCGCTGCAACTTCTGGCGACCTTCAAGGCGAAGGCCAGGTGGCAAAGAGCGAGTCCAATTTGGGAATGAAATTTGTGGCTGTAGCCACTTGAGCTACTTTAGCATACTTTAGCTACCAGGTGCCCTTGACTTTACGACTCTCCAGTGAGCTCATCAACGTGTGTGCGCTGGGGAACCTATATCTTGCTTTGGTGGTTTTCGTGTCTTGGGCAAATGATGTGCGTTTCCTACAACTTGGATAGACAGCCAAGGCAGGCTTCGCAATGGCAAACTGCTTGTGCAGCTCTTGCGCAGTCTGGCAGCCAAAGGGAAAAGTTCGGGTTTTGCCAATCGGACTGCCGATGGGAAGCAGCAAGACATAGTGACATAGTTATATACTTGCCTTTCGTTTGTTGGGTTGAGAACAGGATGATGTAGAGTCTTTGAGGCTGCAGAGCCAAGGACTAGACGCAGACGTCGGGATCTGTGCTGAGACACATCCAAGCAGCCTGAAATTCGCCCAACAACTTCTTGTGAAACCCTCAAACTGACTCAAACTCCTGTGACCTGACTCAAATTTTCTTTCCGATGTGACTTGGTCTCCGCATTCGGTTTCTGCCGAGGCTGTGGCCTTCAATTCGGCCATCGCTGCCTGTGCACGAGGCGCTCGCGACCATCGCGCGGATCGCACCGGTCGTCGTGGTCGCAGCTCCGAGGTTTCGCTTGGGCAGCGGCTCTGAAAGTGTCGCGAGCTCTGAGGAAGACGAGAAAAGAATGGCTTCAGAAAACGGCTTGTTGTAAGGTTTGCTTGAAACTGCTGCTTGTTGTAGAAAAGAGGGCTCATTTCTGAAGGGACTGCCAGAAGCGTTCAATGACTCCAACTGAATGAACATCAGCATTGAAGCGCAGTAGCAACGGAATGAGCTTGCAAGAAATTGTTGGATACTACTGTACTTGTGAGGCTTGAAGAGATTGGAGAACCTGTGATGCCAGCTCGCATTTAGCATGGTCTTTGACCATCTCCAGATGACAGCTCGGCATGCACGTACTAATGAGGTCGTTGTGTGGCAAGTGTGCGGTGCAGCTCGTGTGCCGTGCCAGGATGAGGTGAGTTTCACTGCAGTGATCAATGCCTGTGAGAAAGGCCCGCAATGCCTACGAGGGTCTCCGCTTCGCGATTCTCAGGTGAACGTGCTCGCATTGTCTGCTTCGAATCTGATTTGAAGATCCAGGTCATGAATGGGCCTTGGCCTTGAAGATCTTCGACTCCATGAGCTCAGGGCAACTCTGCTGAAGAAAAAGATGGCAGTTGACGTGAACAGCGGAAGTGACTTGAGCAGCGGAAGTTGAGCAGCTGTGAAACAGCATGTGTTTGTTTCAGGAGTTTGATGTCTCGCATGAGCCGGAATGCAGCTATCAGCGCTTGTGAGAAAGGCAAGAAGCTGCCCAACAGCCAGCGGGCATGCTAGAACCCACCTAGAGCACTTGATGCTGATTCTTATGCTGAACCTTTTCCACAGGTTCTGCTTGGAAGGAGGCACTCCTGTTGCTGGACCGGCACCTAAGCTATGCCGCGTCTCAAAGCAGAGCATGCCCGTGAATTGCCATCAAAAAGTTGTTTGGAAGTCCAACAAGGCAGGTTTCGTCGAGTCCGCAACAGTCCACTAGGTTTTGCACGGCTCAGGATCTGGGCAGTGCTGATGTGGTTGGCTTCAGTGCTGTCTGGATTCCCAAAGAGCTGTTTTGGAGATCATCCCTGGGATTTCCTTCTGTAAAGATGACATACAGTCCTTCATCAGTATCAGTGATAGTATCAGCATATTGTTCCGCTCATCACATCCAAGCTAGGTGGTAGCATCGTTCACACAGGTGAAATCCGACTCTCACGGGGATAAAATCCTCCGAGATCCCTCCCAAACAGAGCCCAAAAGAAGACCAAAAGCTCCCAAAAGAGGGGCTGTCGCTGTCACCAGTCGCGGCTGTCGCCGCTGTCGCCCTCATCCAAGGCCATGAGTGCATGTGCCCGTGCCACACATTGGCAGGAGGCGCTGACGACCCGATACGCCGATACGCCGACGACAGACACATCCACGTTGTCCCCGAGAGTTGCTCATGGGTCGTCAGGCCTTGGAGTTGCTCACAAGTCTGGAGAAGAAAGAGCTGCAGCAGGGAACAAAGGTCATAAGATGCTTTTTCTTTCAGATTCCTTTACCAAGCATAATGCAAGAGATGTATCTACATTTGCTTTGTGAGGCCCCAAATTTGCACGGAAGGAAGGGTCCCCCACACGCTCAAGGGTTGCCAAATGCCTCGAAGAAGCCTGACAAGTCCGGCCGGATAAAGTCCCAAGTTCCAAGAAATCCCACGAGCTCCATCCAAGTGCCAGTGGAGCTGCAGATTCCAAAAGCTTGCCAAGCGGAGTATGACAAACACGAAGAAGCGTGACTGTAAACAGTGCAAGCGGAGTAAGCGTGGCCGCGAGCGTGGGCCTAAGAGGAAGAGACTGCGGTCGACGCCGTCGCGCAGGCACGTCAACTCGGCGTCCCGAGTTGATATCAGAATGTAAGCGTCTTTGTTAGTGCCAGACTTGCATGGTCCCCGACACTCCCTGCTATTTGAATTCGTCAATAGACAACCTCTGAATCCAAGGTCCACACGCGCCCACACATTTCGACAGCGACATGTTTTCATTCCTTTTGCAACGATGCAGTACTAACGGACCTGTAACCTCCACCGGGTACGAATTCTTAGACCCTGCTCCTAAGTACCAAAATTTCAGACTCCCACTTTGAGATCAGCCCCTTGGAACAAAATCTGCCCCTCACAGTTTTGGCGGCTTTGAAAATCATCGTGTCCAAAGGAAAACATACGAGCCCACACCCTGTATTGTTTCAGATCCAAAAATAATCAACAGCACCGGTGCTTACCTCAAATTGGAACTGCGTGCTCGATATAAACGGGCCCTTTGAGGAACCATGCACATGAGTTGTGCAAGCTCATTGTTTGTTTTGCACAAAAAGAACGGCCTCAAACATGTTTTGCTTTTGTTGGAGCTCTTTGTCAGCAATGTTGTCCAAGGCATCTCTATTAATCTATTTGTTGGACCAGCCCGACTCCCCAGCGCTTCCATTACAACGTAGAACTGAATATATTTACTTTCCAGACGCGAAGGCAGGTCCGAAAATTAAGCCGACCCCATGATGATGAAACAATACTTCAAACTAAGTTTAATAGCTGCCTCTGATGAAAAGACACTATACATTCCGTTTTATATGGTGTGGTCTTGCAATCCACCAGTCAACAATTCCAGGAAATGGCGTCTTGGTGAATCAAGCAAGAATCAGAACTCATATGAACTGACCATACCATATGGTAAAATAGACAAAATTCATATGAATTGGTATGGCTGAGTGGCCTGGGCCCAAATCAGACAATTCATATGAATTGGTGGCCTGCTGCATCAAAAAACAACAGTTCACATGAATTGGTCTCATCTGTCACATGAACCAATGAATCCAATGAACAATGTCAAATGAATTGGTAGTCTGGGAACATATGAATTTACTAGACCGGGCAAATCCGCCCCTAGACCGGGTAAATCCGCACCTCGGCATTTTGTGGTTCCCAAAGGCGCAATTCCTATATGACTTCATGTGAGTTTACCCGCCACCTAATGCACAAGCCACACAATTCATATGAATTGAACAGTTCCCCCATCGAGACATGAATTGACTGAAAGAATTCTTGATATCCTTTGTTCAAAGGATGGTCCACACTTTCTCCAGCCCTGGCATGGGACGATAGATTAAAATCAGCACGCTTGCAAAGTGAAGCTTTTCTCCCTAGATTCAGACCTTTTGTCACTTTTCTGGAAAACAGTTATATGATTATGCGCAAACAAATTTGAATCTACAGATTTGATCCACTGCACAAGTTTGGTGCATTGCCCAACACCAGGGCAGAATAGCATAAATCATAAAGAGCGACAAGGACCTGCTATATACGTAAACGTTGATGCAGCAGGAGCCTAAGTATGGTTAAACCACAGCGAAAGCCTTGAATGAACAAAAATAATCGGTTTTGTCTGCAGAATGAACGGCTTCCACTCACTTGGAATGGAGAGCAGCTGGGACCCGCAGCATACCCAATAATTGGCCAGCTTCGGCGTTCCACTTCTGGATTCTTCATACCAAATCATTCGATGAAAGGTTCTGCGTTCTGTCACGTGTTCAAGGGTGTTCTGTAGATCGACAGTTCAAGCCCATAGATTTTTCCACAAAGTATGTGATTAAATGACCTTTTGAGCATGTTCGAGCCCTTTCCTTCCTAAAGTTATGCGAAACGATAGCTGAAACTGAAACTTGCAAAACTTGCAAATCAGACCCTGCCCCTCAGAAGGCAGGGGCGTTTTTCATTCCAGGTACTAAAATAAGGCACCCATCGGAAGTTCCAGGGACCTTGAAGAATGGCCATCACTAACTACCCAAGCCAGGTTGGAGGCCATCGCTAGTAGGTTGGAGGCCATCGCTCTTAGGTGGCGGCCATCGCTAGTAGGTTGGAGGCCATTGCTCTTAGGTGGAGGCCATCGCTAGTAGGTTGGAAGCCATCGCTCTTAGGTGGAGGCCATTGCTAGTAGGTTGGAGGCCATCGCTATTAGATGGAGGCCATCGCTAGTAGGTTGGAGGCCATTGCTCTTAGGTGGAGGCAATCGCTAGTAGGTTGAAGGCCTAGGTTGGAGGCCTCGGCCTCGCAAGTTACGTGCCGAGGCCAGACCTCGTTGCCTACAGCACGGGAGTTTTTGCCTGCGAGCAGGCAGCCTGCTGGCAAGGCGAAGAAGAGAAAGCTGGGTGTGTTCAACAAAACGGGCTCTGTCAGGTCTTGGGTTTTGAGACACCCTCCAAACCACTGTTGAATCATTGAATCGTGAACGCCTTGTGTTCTTTTTTCAATCCCTGGACTGACTCGTTTGCTAAGCTGGCTAGGTGCCTTGGAATTGCAGCGAGCTCAGGTTCAGGTTTGGCATGAAACTCTATTCGTGCTGCACAATGTCGCACGGCTGGGGTGCAGTAGTGAGCAGCTTGGTGCTCTCAGGTGCTTTCAAGTGGCATTCTGTTTGAAGTAACCTAAAGAGAATCGCTCATGACGCAGAACCTGCTCCTAAGGCTTTGTCCTGACCCAGTAGCCTACACAGCACGAGCCACAGGACCTGTTGTACCAGGAACCAATCTTGGCCTGGATGTGTTGATACACTTTATTTCATTGGCTCTATTTTAAAATTCTTCAACTGAACCTGGTACTGTCATGGTCATATGCAGAGTATTTTCCAAATCCGTCTGGCGCTGTAGCACTGTGAGGCTCTGATTGCGGAAAGCAACAATCCACAGAAACGAAACCTGCTTACCCCTTTTCCATGCTTCCTTGTTTCAAAGTTGTTTCCTTGTTTTCCGAGTCCTGCATTGGTGCATCTGCCTTTGCTCAGAAGCTTGACTCCTAGATTCACTCAAACAGGCACTCAGCACATATTTGTCGTCTTCTCGGGGTGACTTGGTTCTTGGTTCCTTGACTCCATTGCTCAAAGGGTGCATCCTCTGATGGCCACTTCTGAGCAGCTCTTCCACGTTTTCTCGAGAGAGTCTTAGGTGGGAAATTGCGGCTCACTTGTGGGGTCAGTTACAAGAACATCCCCGCCGAACTCCCAGCGCTTCTTCTCGCTGTCCATGTGCGTTTGCACGTGACGAGAGCTCGGCCGAGCACGGCCCGATTGACGCCGTGTGAGGTTTGAAGCCCACGGCAATGAGTTATGCTGCCGTGGTGAACTGCCGAGAGACGGGGATGGGGATGCCAAACATGAGACTGCCAAATAGGAACTGAAAGCTTGGAAGGATCCACCTCTATATACAGTGTTGAGTTTTGAGATGTTTTGGAGTATAAAAACCAACAGGAAACCTTGTAGGTGTCAGACCATGCTTAGACCTGCCTGGTTGCACAGAGGCGCACTGGGCACAAAACGCCCAGCCTCGCTTCGACACTCGACTTCTTCGCATCTTCGCTGCCCAGGCCTTCGCGCATGGCACGGCGCGACGCTGGCAGCAGGTCCTTGAGCTTCAGGCGCCGCGGGGGGGAGAGGACGCTACGAACGGAGCAAAGGGTATCGCTACGTTCGGGGCTCCTGGCCTTACTACTAGTAACAAGAAGCCATTAGAAACAAGAAATACATAGGATTAACACACGAATTTATATAGTTTGAATTTAATTAGAATTTAAGACGAAGCTTCAGGTGAGCCCCACTGAGAGGATTAAAGGCCTGCGTAGTCGATGTATCCCGAAGCAAATGGTTGGGTTGCTTGGGGGGCTTAGGGGGGCTTGGATGGCTCTTGTTTCATTTTCATCAGACACACCCAAATCTCCAGATGAAGCTTTGCCAAAACAAAACTCAAAGTATCCTATGACAATCATTGCACGCCAGGTGCAAGTGAGGAAGCTTGGGTGGTTGCCCAGCGGCATGCACCCTTTCGTTTAGAGTTTATACAGTGCTTTGCAGTGTGGACTGCTCCGCTTGCAGCCTAGGTAAAACTTTTATGCTGTGAAAGCTTCTTGTGCAGTGGGGAAGACTGACTTGAAGTCGAAGGTACTCTGCAGTGGTCAGAGGTCTTGGTGGTGCCTTCCAGTGGGAGAAGGCTCCCAAAGAATCAAGAATCATGAGAACTGAATCCATTGATGCACTTTTTCGTGGGTTCAGAAGTTCATAGCATCACCCAGTGCTGCTTCTCAGGCACTAGCGCTGCTTCCAGAGATGCATCATGTGGGCCCTGCGCCGGACACTGTAGGTGCTATCCTCAGTCCGGTAGGCTCTCAGAGCATGGGAGCATGCGCTCTTCATCGCTCACTTGGTGTTGACATTTGAATTCGACTTGTTTGCCAAGTCTATGGCAGCCTCCTTGCAGAATGCGCACGTAGCTGGCAGTGCCTTGGGCAGCAGAAGGCCGATGGAATCCCCCAACCTGTTTTGCATGAGGTGGAGCCACGTGTTGGTGCTCCTGGTGTAGTGCTCAGCAGTTTCACAGTGTTCTGCTGCAAGGAAGCCTTTGATGGTGTTTCTTGTGCACAAAGGATGCCATGACTAGAAGCTGGACCATGCCTGATGCAGTGGCCTACTCCTTGCTGCTGAGTGGGGGCCCAAGACAAGCATGCTACTTGGGTCAGACTAAAATGACTACATCGGAAACTCCCGACAATTCCATCAGGGTTTGTACTTTTTAAACGCGCCCAGTTTATGTAAAGTTGGGATGTTCGACTTAGGCCCTTTGGCGAAGCATCCCCCAAAACGTACCCGGAAAAGTACCACATAGTCAAACATCCCGGCCTGGGAACGGCAACACACATACACTCCCAGATGGATATATGTCGAACCCTTCACCATGTCCGACCATCGATCGGGCGTTCCCAAATTTGTGTTCCATCCCAAGAACTGAGAAAAGCTGAGCTCAGAGCGAATTCGTCCCTCCCAGTCTGGTCTGTGTCTCACTTTCCCTTCTCTCTGTTCTCATGACTTCTCACCCCAGAGACGAGCCCAACTAGGAACAAGAAGCTACTAGGAACAAAGGACATCGCTACTAGGAACAAGGACGCTACGAACGGGGCTCCTGGCCTTACTACTAGGAACAAGAAGCTACTAGGGGCTCCTGGCATCGCTACTAGGAGCAAGGACGCTACGAACGGGGCTCCTGGCCTTACTACTAGTAGCTAGAAGCTACTAGGGGCTCCTGGCATCGCTACTAGGAGCAAGGACGCTACGAACGGGGCTCCTGGCCTTACTACTAGTTATATACTAGTAGCTAGAAGCTACTAGGGGCTCCTGGCCTTACTACTAGGAGCAAGGACGCTACGAATGGGGCTCCTGGCCTTACTACTAGGAACAAGTCTTCTCCAAGTCTCTACCGCCTCTACCGCTCTTCAGAGGCACCTGCTCTCGAGCGCAGCGGGGAGCCGAGGGAAACCGAAGACATGCATTCCTATATTCCTCACGGCAAAGCATGGAACCCGAGGACCATGTGCTCACCCCCTCGCAGTGCTCACCCCCTCACTTTTTGAGGCATTACTCGAAAGCCCTACCATTTCTACGCCCACGCCGACTCGAACTGAGCAAGAGACACACAGGAGAGACCCTTTTGGTGAGTACCAGCCACTGATGAATCAACACCATCCTTTAGGACACTTGCAAAAGGGACACTTTCAACATAGTCGGGATCTCTCACCTCATCATGGGCGCTTCTGCCAAACATGGGTAGCATCCCAGTTCCCTCAGGCCTCCGGCTTGCTGCCGCTGCGGCGATGGCAGCACACTCCGTGGCCGTGCGAGCAAGGGAACTTAGACACCATCGCCGTCACTGATTCAGTAGGATGAGACGGACGAGTGGCAGCCAACGGACTAGTTTAGCAAGGACGCCTCGTACTCTTCTTGGCCAAAAGCAGCAGACAGAATTCTGGAAGTGCAAATCCTTGCTTGAGCACGTTTCCTTGTTTTTGCCCCACTCTTGACCTGCTGTTCTAATTTACTTTGTTTGAGGCCAATGCTGCTGGCTGGCGTATGCTAGGCCCACTGCCGCATTTGTTTTGACGTCGATCCGGCTAGATCATGTGACTCAGGTGATATCGCCCAGCTCGCTCAGTTGCCAGAGTGGCAACAGCGGAGTCAGGTCTCAGCTTGATTGTATTGGTTTTCGTCCACAATTCCAAGGGTGGATGCCTTTGAGACAACCACTATTTGCGTGACAAGCAATCGGGGCCGGAAAACAAAGGATCCGATTTCCGACACCACCCCAGGGTACCTGACACAGGGGTGTACCTCAAAAAGATCGGGTTGTGCCGGACAAACAAAAGCCCCTTTTTCAGCTGAAAGTCCAGGATGCAGAGCCTCTCTCAAGCCTTGAAAGCCGATCCTGTGTGGAGGACAGGACGATCGCGAGGACCAATGCGCTGAAGACAGCGATCGCGACCACTCTGGACCACTCTGGACACATCTGTCCAATGATGTGAGACACAACTGCTACTTGGTCACCCAGACAAAGCCTTTGGAAACCACCAAACGTCTGGGCCGCCTTTCCGATCAAACACCACAGTCCCCAATGCGCGGCCTCCCCCAGGAGGCTTCTTGGAGACGGACGAGCGACCGAGAGAAAAAGTGGAGCATCCAAAAGCTCTTGGAGTCTGTTGGAGTGTTTGGGAACGATTGGACTGTTCTCAACTGATTGGATGGGCTTTTGATGATTCTAAAACATAGCAATGTGGTAGCAACTCTCAGCATTTCAAGTGTTCTGCGCAGGTTCAATCTCGAGAAGGCCCACATCATACTAGATGAGATGGTCTTGGATGGTTGCATCGTTGACACCAACAAGGTCTGGCAGTCACAACTTCAGCCTCCGCAGTACTGCCGCTTGACTGCCCAAAAAGTTCCCAGAGTTTACAGTGTGTAGGCAGCAATTCTGAATCCGCTGTACCTGCTGGAGAAGCACTCAAATTGAGAAGCCGCATTGAAAAAGCGCCAGCAGAGCGGTGTGGGCATTGCTGATGTTTTGTGGAGAATGGCATGCACAGTCACACCATGTGATAGGTCCCGATGGATATCTTGGGCTCGTTTCATCCCTTTTTGGCCGACATTTGGAGTACGAACATCATGGCCTTCAGCTGAACGGCTGAAGCTTCCGAATCTTCTGACCGAATCTTCTGGACTCAAGAGCTGAAGCTTCCGAACTTCCTGAAGTGCCGTTCCAAACCATCTCTGCTATGGCGATTGAACGGACTCCAAGCTTTTCGAGCTGGACTTTTTGTTTCAATTTCTCGTTTCGATTCGGGACACGGGTCTTGCGGAGACCTCCTTCCGAGGCTCAAGAAGCCAGCTGCTTTGCCACTGATGTGGAGACGGTGGTGGCCGTCCTATCCGACTTCAAGTGCTCCAGAGGAAAAGAAACATTGATTTTGTCTCGAAGGAATGCTTGAATGCATTAGAATCCTGCTTGCACAGGTATTCTGAAGCGTTGGCAGAGGCCCTTCCGTCCCCAAGTCGCTGACCTTTCTGATATCTGGAAGTCCCATGTCGCTGTGCCACCAACTTACTCCCAGACTCCTAAGTCCTGTTTGGCAGGAATCGGTGGCAGATGAGATCAGGCAAAGATTTTTGGTGTGTGTGTTTCGCATGGAAGCTCCATTGTCTCGAGTCTCGTGTCATTCTTCCATGGTGCTGGAAGGCCGCAGAAAAAGATACGTTGTGTTTCATTTGGTGTAAAAAAGACACATGTCTTTTTGCTTCATGTTGCTTGCCAGTTTCCGGCCGCGTTTTTGAGGTGCCAGTTGAAGGACCAGTCCATGCAGATTGAGGAACTGAAGGCCCGGAGCTTGCGGGACCGAGCGAGGACGGACTGTCGTTTGGCAGCCACCACCGAGTCCAAGCATTCGATGAATAGGAAAACACATTGGACCGAATTCCAAAGGAGAAAGAACCGAGTCCAGGAACATTCCAGTCATTGTGCCCGGTCCAGTTCCTCAAATTAAGCCCTGACGAACCGGAAAGTGTTGACCTGCAAAGAAGGAGGAAGAAGCTTGGCCTTGTGTTATCAAAAAGCAACAGCAGAAGGACCTGCAACTTCTTAAAGCCTTGGCCCTTCGGGAGGCTGCCATTGAGACCGAACTTCAAACTGTGCGCCAACAATTTGAGGAAGCAGAGGCTGGTCGCGTTGAGATATGGCCTGGGAAAGGAGCAAAAATATTAAATGTACTCAGCCAAGAACATGAATGAATGCTATAAGGTTATAAGGCTGTAATGACTTTCATACGAAGAATCTTCATTTTTCCTCTCCATGCAGTTCAAGGTTGCTTTGGAGAGCACAAAAAGCTCTGAGCGCCAAGCAGTGTGCGAACTGGAATCCAAGGCGAGGGCAGGTGGTCTGTCTCTGTCTTTGTGATGGATTGCTGCATGCAGTCGGGGCGGATAAGATACGCTTGCATTTCAATAAGCCGACAGCTTTTGTTTGATCGACACACACATATACTTAAGATTACTTCTTAAACACATATTAATCATATGAATTATTAGGAAGACATGAGGCACCAGGCACCTGCGATGGCTCTTGCATACTCCGAATCCGCGTAAAGACTGACTTAATCATCGGGCCTTCTCGCTTCTTCCTAAAATACAGGTGAACACTCTGGTGGAAGCTCAATTGAAGTTGCAGTCAGTGCAAGATGCGAGGAAGAAGGCGCCTGCTACTGTCCAGGAGTTTGTTTCGTTCTTTTTTGCACTTTCATGCATTCTGGTTGCACAGTGGAAGATGCTCTAGCTGTTGTAATACTTAACGACTCTTTGCTGATTTGGATCTCACGGCTTTTTCTTTAGTTCCACCGTGTTGTCACGATCTCCCTGGCGTTGCAAGATGTACGGTGGCCACAGCACGGTTGTTGTGGGGTCCACACGGTTTTTGGCACACGGTGTACTGAACTGTTTGCCCTTTGCTGCACTTCGTCTGAATTCTTGGTAGCTCAGCCCTCCGGAATTTGGGCGCCCGCATGGCTTTTTCTGTGGGGAAGTGGAAACCATCGAGCAGCCACCTTCATAGACGGAAGATCGCAACTTGAACAAAGCTGTTGCTTGCAACCCAATTGCCTGCTGTTGTTTTGCCGGTGAACCAGGCTTGGCTGGCGTATATGCAAAGCAGGCACATTAGATTCTTCAATAATTACTTGAAGTTGAGAAAATCAGAGCTTCGAGCTAATGCGTTTGGCACTGGGGACTGGGGCAACTTATCCGCCAAAGAAAAGGTTACATTATGTTACATTGTCATTGAACTTAGAGGCAGCACCTTGTCCTGTGAGAAACGGCTGCACAGAACGTCAGAGTGTGTGACGTCACAGGATGTTGTCGTTTCAGAGGTTCAGTTCCATTGTTTGATCTTGCGTCGCTGCGGGTCCTGCCATTTTGGTGCTTAGCGCATCGTGAGACATTCGGGCCAAAGGGCTCACTGGGGATGCGCGCGTGCGATCGGTCCATCGCATTGGACCATAGCCGCAGCTGCAGTCTTCCAACGAAGTAGCCCGCCGGCATCATGTCACATCTACAGGTCTCCCTCAAGACTCTTTTGCCCATGATTTACCGTGTCAAATTGCGACATTTGAAGAAGGACCAGAGGAGCTGCCAACATGTCTCAAGGCAGGCAGGAGCTGCCAAACCCTTCATGGCTACAGGCTGTGGTGGCGGCCGGAGTCATACTTGTAACATCGTATTTCATCATTCTGCTTGGGTGCTCGTCAGAACTACTGTATGTGGTTTCTGGATACTGCAGCCTGTCCAAAATCGTTGGAAGCAAAGGTCGATAAAATGCAAAAGGAATTGCCAAGGTTTTCAGCCAAAGTTTTGCGTACAAAACTAACCATGTATGTACCCGTAACTAGTCATGTCACGCACAGATTGTGCGCAGTCATGCTGTGCTGTCAGATGCTTAACTTCCGTTTCACACCGACGCTCGCTATGGCTCAAGGAAACAGTGCTTCCGCCGCTGTTTCCAGGGTGCACTGGTGCTCACGTTTGCACCTTTCGGTTTGCTTCCGTTCGCGTTTGCATCCACCCTTCGTAAGTAAGTAACTCTAAGTGCAGACCACCCCATAGTCTCATAGACCAAAACGGTGACGTCCCTATGGATGAAGTAGTCCCGAGCACAGATAGTCCATTGACGACTAACCCAATAGAACCTGAAGAAGCAGAGCAGCTTTGGCGGCCTGAGACGCTGTTAGAGCAGTCGTCCCTTTATCGCCATAGTCCGCCCTTAGATACTTCCAACACCTTCGGCCCCTTAGGACTATCATACGAGATGATCGCTCGCATCAACGCTGAGCCTGACCTTCAGACAGTGCCCATAGAGGAGGAAGAACTTTTGGTGGAGGAGTTGGGAGAGGAGGCAGCCGCTGCCGCTTCTGCTGGCGCGGGGGGTCGGTCCAGGCGGAGAGGCACTAGAGCCGGGCGGAAACATGCGCCAGGGAAGGAGAATGCCCTGTATTCGCAAGCCTGCAACAATATAAGAGCGCAGCTAGGTCGATCCACCCATGCACGTTTTGGCCGTTGCTTTGAACTGCCATTTATCACTCCCCAGACAGCCCGCCGCGAGTACTCCGACTGGTTTCGGTATGTCCTCAAACACTCAAACCAGTGGACTTGGCAGGTTGAAGGTGAAGCGCTTCCAATTGACATGATTCTCACCTGGTCCACACTTCTCCCCGAACTCTGGCACTTCCTGCATAACATCAACCCACAGCTTCTCCAAGAAACCCCTCAGCCTAGGCATCGTGTGCCACAGGGGTACTGGAAGTCAGACCATCTGTTCGTACCGCTTAGAAACGCTAGGGCTGCAGACGCCAAGGTCGCGGCTCCTAGGATGGTCTTCAACTCAGCACCCCGACCACCGTGCGAACCGCGTGCAGACCGCTCTCGCTCCGTCGACTCGTCTTTGTCCGCTGCCAAAGCATCAGACTGGAGACCTTCGTTGAGGCAGGCGTTTCCGAAGAGCCGAGCAAGTCCGATACACCGTCCAAGCCACCAGCCGCCCTTTGTCGCGGGCTGTTCGTTGCCGAACGTGGTCTTAGTTCCTGTTCCCAACACCGCATCCTCCACCGGAGGCCCCAGGTGAGACAGGTGTTCGTGGAGCCAGACAAGCATTTTGACCGAGCCGAAGGCCCACAAACCGCTGCCCCAGGCACGGTAATTAGTGAATGTGCGTAAACCTCCGTGACACGCCAAGATGGCGAGGGGGGAGTCGAAGTTTTGCATACAAAGCTGACTATGACTATGTATGTATCCCTAACTTGTCATTTCAGGTAGAGATTGTGCGCAGTCATGTTGTCCGATATTCATTTTCTGTTTCACACCGACGTTCGCAGTGCTTCCGGAAAACAGTGCTTCTGGGCCGGGTGCACTGGTGCTCACGCTTGCACCTTTCAGAGATTGCTTCGACTCGCACTTGCCTCCACCGCGGGGGCTCAGTGTTCTAACACCCCAGTAGTACGGTGCCTTCAAGGCATAGGGCTAGGGATGCCATTTTTGCACGTTTGTTCATACTTTATGGTCACTCCCGCACTTGGTTGTGTTTGGACTTGCCTTCGGTGTTTCGTCAATGCTCGGTTCCTTACCCATTTCATTGTTTCATACCATAGCTTTCTCTCCTGCAGACTGCGTGTGTTCTGACATTAGTGCTCACCCTTTTCAAGCCAACAAGCAGACTGTGATGGCTTCAGATAGTCAGTTTGGGTTTTTGAAACGACATAGTGAGACCTTTCCAAAGGAAAGTGGTCGAGTTCCAATATTGTATCACATGCTCCTGGTTCGCTCTGAATGTTTGCCATCGGCTCCACTTTCACTGTCGTCCGCTTGGCTCTTTCGTTCTTCGAATCCGCTGTGTGGCGGTCCCGTGCAGGTCGAGAAGGAGAGTCGTGATGAGTTGGTGGTGAGCGATGCACTCCACGAGGCTCGTCCGAGCGGCTGCACGAGGGTCGGGTGCCTGGGGGGAGCTTGCTGAGAAGGCCAAGAACAGGAACATCTCCGTGAATGAGGGTGCGTGATGTCCTCAGATTGCTTTGACCAGTGTGCTCCAAGATGTCAAGAGTGCTGTAGACTGCTTGAAAGCTTTCTTGACATTGCAATTGTTTTTTGTGCTTTTGGACACAGGTTTTGTACTCTTCTGAATGGTTCTTGGACCTCAGACAAGGACAGCAAAGTTCTTTAAGTGAGACCAGCTTCTGACCTCTTTTTTTTGCTCGGAGGACAAGAATGAAAAGCTAGCTACCATCAAGGAGTACTTGCAGGAGCGCCCCACTCTGGAGATTGTGCTCTCATTCCGTGTGCCACTTCCTAAAGTACCCAGTCATACGGACGCGCTTAAGAAGTTGTCGGAAGAGTGATGAATGCCCTGACGTAGAGAGCCTTTAGTAGAGAGACACAAGGAGCCATTCAAGCAAGAATTTGACAAGACGACACAGTATGTGAGTGTGTATTTAATATTTTAACGAGGAGACCCCGTAGACCCCCAGCTCATGGCTGTTCGTCCGTTCTGTCTTATCACAAGCAGCCGACCCCGTTCGCACCGGCACCCCCGGCCGGACCCGAGGACATTGGCACAGAGAAGACTCTGGTGGCCGCAGCGGATGGTCTCATCACCAAGCCGGAAGTGCGTGGTGACTTCGACAAGATGACCATCGACTGCATCACAGAGGCGGAGCCCCACACAGGGGAAGGTTGCTGTTTTGACTTGGAGCGGTTGTCCACCTGGGACTTGGTTTACAAAGATTTACAAAGTATATACGTGTTGTTAGCCTAAAGTGTTGAAGGACCAAAGCAAGGACCACAGCTAGGTCCCGTTTGTTGGCCTTTTCACCACCTCAATCATCATCCAGTTGTATTCTTAGCCGTCTTTCTGGCAGGAATTGTCTGAGAAGCTGAAGCAGGTGGAGGATGCGGCTAACCAAACCGTTGTCAAATTGGATCATGACGCATGACGCATGTCACCTAGCAAGATTTGACTATACAAACACCTGCCGAACTTGAGAAAGTGAAGCTTGCGGGAGATTCTGCATAATTGAAGGAAAGCAAAACCAGCTTACCGAGAAAACCATGTTGCCCCAATGCTTTTTGCTATAGCTCCGGCCAGAGAGGGCAGAGCCTTCCACACGCCAATCCAGGAGAAGCTTTCTGAGCGCGCGCCAGCGGACAAGCAGGTGCAGACCAGTCTGGGTCCGTGGATTGGTCTTCCATCGCCCAACCTGGAAGAAACGTGGGTACCAACCTGGGCCGTGGAACTGTGGCGTCAGGTGCGAGCTGAGCTCCTGGGCCTTCAGGCGAGGACCGTTGTGTCGAGGCGTTGACCTTTCGGTGCCGAGGCGACGTAAGTCGTCAAGCTTGGCGACGCTTTGACCGTCTGTGTTTGACTAGGCCCTCCAGGACATGTGTGAGGAGAAGGCCGATGTTTCACCGACTTCAGAGAGCCAATTCTTCAATCAAGTTGTTTGGCCATACAAGCTCGTCTGCCGAATTGAATTCAATCTGCCGAAAAACTGCGTTGCAGAACTTTGCTGAGTTGAGGCGCAGGCAGCCGAGGCAGAACACAAAGCCGTGGAAGCTGATAGCCTAGCCTACTAGCTGAGCTGCAGTCTTTGCGGGCAGAAAGCATTGATTATGTACATGGAACACTTATGCATTTTTCTAGTTTCATGGACTCCTGATTTCAGCGTGTTTGCATCAACTATGTTTTGCAATCAGGCTTGCAACCTTGGAGTCAAGCATGGCAGGACATACACCATGTAAGCTCAATCTCAAACTGACACAACTTGCGTTGAGGCCACAGTGAAAGGCTCCAAGGTAGAGATCAAGGCCGGAAAGCAGAAGGCTCGGCCGGGTCATGTCTTTGAGGTTGTTTCTTGATTGTATCCATGGATGAGCCAGGTGCTGAGCATGGAATGACGATTTTGCAAATAGAATATTCTGGCGGAATTATCCTTGTTGCTTTGTGGTTGGCTTCCTGACAAGTGTGTTGAGTCTCAGTTTGATAGCGCTTGCTTGAGCTGCATCGCGGTTATCACCCCATCAAAGGCCATCTCGTTTCATCTCGACGCTGGCTTCGCTGCCTTTCCTGCAGTTGCTTTCAGTTGGTTTAGCCTTTCAATCGCACCTGTCTTCAAGCCATGGCGTTGCGCCCCTTAGTTGAGAATTACTGTTGGACTGTGTAGAAGAAGTTAAACACACAGGTCTCCCTGGTGAGGATTTGACACTGCACACTCCTTATTACAATATAGACGCAGATGTGAATGAGATGCAAGCATATGCAAGCTGTCAAGGAACAATTATGACCGTCCTGCTTGCAGCGATATGGTCTTCTCATGCTGACATGTATCTGAACAGCCGGTGCCTGAGATCCTTTTTTTGGGTGCTTGGGGATTCAGCGAACACCCTGGATTTCCCTCTCGCAGCGGCGCAGACCTTCATTGGGCCTTCCTTCGATGCTCGCAGACCAGGTCCACGCGGATCGAACAACAAGCTTCGTGAGCAAAGCAACAACGTGCAGCGGCTCGGGCGATCTCGGGCGCGGCCATCGCTGATTGGAGCTGTTTTTTTTTTTTTTTTTCGCTGGCGTTGAGAAAGAGCAATCAGTGAAGACGTTCGGGAAGTCACCAAAATCCATGAAAAGAGTTCACCAAATCGAAAGAATTCGGTGTTTTTCAACGCGGGAGTGAGGATTTTGACTTCCGAGATGATCGTTACGTCAGATGACCAGTCATCAGATGTGTGGGACCAAAGAAGGTGTGAAAAGCAGACATCTAATTACAACAATTGCTGTATACCAGCGCCCTCCAACAGGTCTCTTCTGGAGGCTTTTGTGTGTATATATATATATATACATACATCGTCTATACTTCCATTCTTCATCATTCCTTTAATTGTGGCCTGCCAAGCTACAGATCCTCTTCACGTCGTATGAATCCCTGGTTGATTGGCGGATTTCTCATGTTGCAGGTCCTGAGGTTTTTTCCAACCATGAATTGATCCTGGCGTGCAAGGATCACACAGCTCTATGGCATTCGCAGCACATCATAATCCACGTGAGCAGCTAAGGAATGCCAACAGGTTGTTTGACTCGCAAAACAATGCGGCTTCAGGTGGGGTGATGAGTTCACTGAGTAGTGGCTTTTGCAGGGCAGCCTGAGTCTTCCATGTAGGCCCGCATAGGCAAAACAGGTCCGAAGGACAATTGTTGTGCTTGCATCAACCCTGCAGGCTATCAGATTGGAGATGACTGCAAGCCTGCCTGTAAGGACCGGAACCGGGGAACTTCCCTGCGAGCCTTGACGTAGGCAGAGAAGTATACCAGATTTGTCCTTTGTTGCTTGTGCAACGCATGGGATATTGAGGCCAGATCACAAAGGCTAGCAAAGTCAGCAACTCTGGGACTCTGGAATCGATTTTCGGTATAATCCGTGAGACATCTGGCTTCAGTCCCCTTCCTAGACCCGCATGGTCGTAAGGGTTCACCTGGTCCCTTTGCACAGACGGAAATTCGAAATAAAGCAACATTGTCTAGATGCTCGCTGCATTGCCATCGATCGACTCACGGTGGTGCCGAATAATACCAGTTCTATTAAGAAAACATAAGAAAACACACATCCACCGCCACCAATGGACGATGAAGAGGAAGCTCCTGTGATACCAGGTCACGAAGGCCTTGGCTCAGGGCAACGACGACATAAGGGCAGTCTTGGCCAGAGCTGTTCTGGTGCTTTCTAGCAGAAGGCCTTCGACGGCTGCGCCCTTGAAAGATCTGACTCCTGTGGCCGAACCTGTGAGCCCCCCAATTGGTTTCACTTGTGCTGGGAGGGCTGGCGCCTTGAGGAGCCTTGAGGAGTGTCGCCTTGTGCCACCGATGGACAGATGAGATCATGTGGCGGCACTCTGCATCGAACTTGACTGAGAAGCTGAGTGAGTGCATCTTTGAGCGGAGGAAGCGTGTCGTGGTCCATGCTGTGTGGCTTGGAGGATAGCCCCTCACCTTTCCGCCAGCTTGATGACCTTCTGCGCGAATCAGCGCCGGAACAGTTGGTTGCAATGCCCAACAGAGCACCTGCACCCCGAACAAAAACAGCGCCGCCGCGAGCAAGTGCTCAGGAATCTTGTACTTTCACGTGGGTGGCATATTCACTACTGCTTCACGTGTGCTTTGGTTAGCATTCTTCAAGGCCACGCTGGCTTCAAATATTTCAGCTATCCACGTTCGATTCGTCATCTCATGCGTCCTATCCTGAGCAATTTGTCGTGCCACACTCTTCGGGCACAGACATCCATCACATTTCAGGTTGCACGGCAGTTGTGGGGTCGAATAGGTGAATCTAAGAGGCAGTTCTTCAAGTGCGGCGAGTGTGCGGCAGGGCTTGTTGACCACGTTGTTCGTTCTTGGCCTCGGTACGGGTCGGTCGGATGCTGACGTGTTCAGCAAGAACTTCAGCGTCTTCAGGCTGACTCCAAGTTGTTGCGGCTCGACAGTGGCGTGACTCCATGTGTGCCCAGGAAAAGCAGCACTCAGATGGCTCCAGGGCTTGCCATCGCAGGGGTTGTTCCGAGCCGATGGAGCTCCGTTCCAAATAAGGCGAAGTTTTTCATCATTTGCTTTGAATGGGCCCAGACTGAGCCTTTGCGAGTTTGATGGGACTGCATGAATCAAATTTCATCAAATTTCAATTTTTGTATTTTTTGAAGCGGAATCGGAGAGTTTAAGCTTGGATGTTTCGATCGTTTTTGACTGTAGACAAGTTTCGGGCCGGTTCTGCCGAACTCGCGCGAAATCTCACCATGGCACGAAAACTCTTCGTGTCGGGAAAGGCTACATTCGTGTCTGGGGAGTTAGGGGCCTGGAAAACGAAAGCCTATACCAGAAAGAACACGGATTGAGTCAAGAAGTCTTTCGTCTCATTTCCGTTGAAAGCTAGAGATATCGGGGATTGGGGCGAAAAGGACATCGCTACCAGCGAGACACTTTCGCGCCCTTTTGGCAATCTGCAGCGGACATCTTGCTTCAAGTTGCAGCCCAGCTTCAAAAGAAAACTGCAACGTTCGGGTGGTTGCAGTGATTACACTGACCTTTGCTATCCCTGCGGTGGCAGGTGCTATGACAAGAAAGGGTGGTGCTCTTCGCAGTGACTCTTCTTCGCGTAGTTTGCCTTGCATAATTGCGTGCGTTGCCGGCAAACCTCTAATTCGTGCACAAAGCAACTCATATAGTGTGTTAGACGCTTCTACGATTTGGTCTACGGTAAGTTTTGTTTCTCTTGGAACGACAGCTTGGACCGAGCGTCCACAGTCCAAAGGGCAAAAGAAAGGTCGAACAACATCTTCCCGCAAAGTTCATTCAACAATAACTTTGTTTTCATTCAAAATGTTTTCATCAATAATTTTCAACATTCCTCAAAATTCATTCAACTCAAAATTCTTTCAGAAATAATTCGGAGGATCCGGTCTCTTGGGAGTCGTCTCTGTTTGCGTAAACGCAGTTGGGATGTCCCCACCGCATGAGAGAGAGAGAGGGGGCTGGAATTCCCCTGAAGATTTTTGTGAGGTTGAGCGTTGTGATGCAACCCCAAAGTTTTGGCCCGGGTAGTTTCACTGGGGGCTTCAAGCATCGCTGCGCAGGATGCAAACAACAATTATGATGTAACCGTCGAAGGCGTGTCCATCGCTGTGCGCAGTGTTTGCTTGTGATGTCATGGCCGGACAGTTTTGCAACACATTTTTGCATATTTTCGCGATAGTTCCGCTGCAGGTGCCACAAAGGGTACGATGAAATTCTACCAGGGCTCCGAGCTCTACATCGAGTGGCACATGCAGTTCTTTGGATGGCAGTCGAAACAACCCAATCCTGTACGCCCCGACCTTTTGAAAGTATGCTGTTTGTAGGTCTCAACTCAACATTGCCAGCGCAATTGCCGGCACATGGTCAAACATCGAGGACTTTGGATAAACATTAGGGAAGGTTTCATGAAGGACGGAGAAGCATCCTATTCCTAGTATGGGCAGGATTCATGCCTTGAACCCAGAGAAACCATACAGTATGGTTTTGACCAAACCATTTCCGAGTTTTGACCATGCTTGACCCACGTTTCGACATGGCGAAGCGGCGAAGCGTTTCCAATCGGCCCGCCAAGGCACGGCTGTGGCGTAGGACATCCCAACCTGCGATGCCAGAGCCGTAGCCGCAGGTTGGGTTTCAGGTGTCACGGCAGGTGTTCTGTTTCTGTTTCTGAAAGGCAGGGCCGGCAGGGCCCCAGGTTGGATGCCTCGTTTTGCTCCGAAACGACCCCCCTTTTGATGAGGTGTTTGATGGTTTTTCCCACGGATTCCCTGAACATGAAATGTGTGGACTCGTGCCGTGCGTCTGTGCCGACTCGGATTCATGCCTTGGGAACTGAGGATTGTCCTGCAGTACATGGCAGAAAAAGACAATGCAAACCTCCGGGACGGCACAGAGCAAACTTCAGCTGGTGGAGATGGCAATGATCCTACCGAAGAGGACGAACATAGTGTGCTTTGATCCATAGGCAAAAATGGACGAACGGTCTCTTCCTTTGACTGAAGTTGAGCTTGAGGAGAACAGTTCTTCTGATGGGGAAGCAAGCAATAATTGACAGAACCCCAAAGAGGGCAGCCGCAAAGTACTGTGGATGACCACTCGGTTTTGACAGGAAACTGCGGAGGTCTCCCGAGGCTACCATGAGACCTACGACTACTATCAGGTGGCCCCGTTTCGGCACCGTTTCGGCTCGGCACGGCTCGGCCTCGGAGATTGCAGGACGCCCCCCTTGGAGTCCGAGTCGCAAGAACGAAAGGCTTATTTTAGGAAGAGTAAGAATTCTGCTTAACGGTGCGGTAGGACGCTACTAGGAACAAGTGCATCGCTAGTAGTAACAAGTGCCTTACTAGTAGTAACAAGGACGCTTCTAATGCACGAATCCAGGGTGACTTTCGTGCTAGTCAACGTCCTCGTCCTGGTCCCCGAATCACCCGTTCTCCCGTCCCCTCGCTGGATCCCTTTTTTTGGGACGAGGCCTGCATCGAGCGAGAACGCAACAAGGGCCTGTACACCGCAGACCAGCAGATTGAAGAGAATGGTGCGCTGTGGAAAATGGGGGGGACGTTTTTCTTTGTCCTCATCAGGTCAGAAAGTGTGAGGCCAAAAAGCAGAGTACGGTAGTCTTATTTTTTTGTAGGTTTTTTAGTTGGTTTTGTGGTGTCAAAGTCAACCTGAACTACCACAACCAACAATAACACCAGACTCAGTTATCAAGTTCTGGTATGGAGATCTAGCAACATTTGATACCTTGGTACCTGAAGGAACTATATAAAAGAAAACAACAACAAATGACATCAAATAAATAAACAATTCGTTACTATTATATACTAATAGTTATAATGTTATTTTAGATATTCTGTGACAAGACCCACCACATGTTGATATATGGAGAGCCATATGAACTATATTGTTTTTTTCTCTTTATGAAGAAGGGTCAGTTTCAAGAACTCGTCGGTTGGAAGTTGCAATGACAATGACCGTCAGTCGAGACCGTCAAGAGACCGTTGGTGTAGAACATCCACAACAGGAATTCAGGTCCTGCCACAGCGGAAGAACGTCCTCCTCACGCTTTGGACAAGGAACGTCCTCACCTTGGGCTTCTTATTTGGTATAGAACATCCAGAACAGGAGGCCAAGAGAGTGAAGACAAGAACTGGGCCGAACTTGGCCAGGCTGAAAGAACAAGCCACACGACCCACTGGACATCACCACAGCCTGGAGGGTGAAAAATCGATGCGTCCCCCCCCAAAACAGCTCGACAGGTGGGGCGACCTCCACCCGGCAGAATCCCAATGGCAATGGCCGCCGACGTGGCAATCAACGACATGGCCTTGAATGCCCGGAGGACGCCCAACGGCATGCCTCTTCAATGGTCGGAAACAGTATAAAGAAGCCAGGGCGAAAAAACACCAATCTGAAATCCTCCAAATCCCAGAATTCCCAATCATGCCCCTGGGCGAGGAAGTTGCTAAATCGAAAAGCCTTGCAGCTCCATGGGAATTGGAATGGGAGTTTTATATATTTTTGGACTTGAACAGTGTCAGAGAAACACTCGCCTAGTTTTCATCAAGTCTGCCAGTTGGTTGTGGCAAGCCAGCATCAGTTGTCTGCGCTTCACTTGACTGAGCTGGTGGGCCAAATTCTGGCGACACGCCATGCTGAAAGAAAGCGGCTGCGTGAAGCAGCTTTCAGGTTCACAACAGGCAGCTTCCGGCCCAATAGCTTGTGCCATGGGGATGGGTCTGATGAGGAACCGTGCCTTTGCACCAGGAGCGGGACTACTACCCATATTGGCATCCAACTCCATGGCACGATATCGCCATCCTGACGGAGGAACCGCAAGTGCGTTGTGACTTGCTCCCAAGACCGGGGGGAGTTAGTTTGGCAGGTACTTCGAGCCTCCCTTGCATGACCTTCTTGTGGTGTTCTGCCAGGTGAATACTACAGAATGGAGTCCCAGAATGTGAAAGCGAAGGGCTACTGCACTCTTCCGCAATACAACAACCCAGATGCCTGCGTTGGCAACGATGGCGCGTCTCGAAAGCACTCATGCACATGAAAACATGTTAGTATCCTTTTTGTAAAACCCCGTTGATGCCCTCCTATTCCCCTTTAAATAAATGAACCGGACCCGTTCCTCGTCAATGTGTTTGTTTTTACTCCTTTTGGCGCGAGCGATTGATTCATTTTGGCCATATTTCTTTCGCCAGAGCGCTACTCCTACTAGTATCTGAATCTTTCCTCAAGTGGATACGTCTGTCTTGTGGGGGTTGGAGCTCTTAGAGCAGCGAAACAAATCAACAGACAAACAAATGAACGAACGAACAATGTCTAGTCTTGTCGTGTTGTGCCGACGTTTCTGACTTGTGCGTTGTTTGTTGGGTTGAGGAATGGAAGGAACAAGCTGCCTTTGATGAGCCTCCCCCTGAGTGCACTGGAGGCGGGCTCACCTTTTACGTCCAAATGCTTCCACGATTGGAATTGTGCAAGGCAGTCGAGCTGACTCCTACAGGTGGAAACGAGCTAGCCAATTGTCCTTTGAATACATGTGGAAACGAGCAGCTTTGCAGCTGCTGATTCAGGAATTGCGAGCCGCGACAACCACAACGGAAATGTCCGGAATGGACAACCCCACTACTATGCGCCTTGGCCAGTGCGGGATTTGTTGCAGCATGGTGTCAATTGAGGATCCCAAACTGGAATTTCCATGAATTTCCCAAGTCTCTGACTGATGTATCTTCCTACTACCAGGGGTCTGTCAGGAGGGGGTTCTGTGTTGGAAACAGACCCACCCATCCAACGCACATGATTGAACAGAACAGTTTCTTCACTTTCAGGTGTGGAAGATCCCAGAGTTCGTCAAGGGCCGCGTGGTTCTGCGCATTCGCTGCTCAACTGCCTACCGCTTGGCTGGGCAAAGAGCCTGGCGTGTTTGCAGCCACAAAATGATTTGTGGGTGTCTATGACGAACGCTGACACAGGCGCAACATACATGACCCAAACGGCTCGATTTACTGTAACATGTGGCTGCAAAACGACTTCTCAGGCTCTGTTCTGTTCTGTTCTTCGCAGACTTTCTGCCAAGACTGAGAGACACTTCACTCCAGAACCTGTGCTGCGACTGAGGCTACAACATCACGACAAAGGACTTCGACTATGGCTCGTTGGCGAATCCTGAGGAGGAAGGCGCATCTCTGTCAGGCGAGGATGAACACATCGATTCAAAGAGGATTCGAACACCAGCTTGATTCTATGCTTCCCTATATAGTTGCTCTAAAAAATATTTTCACATTTTTTTTTTTTATATACATGAAAAAAATCGACTTTTGAGGTGTGAAAGCAGATCCCTTCTTCATGAATGCCAAGTACAATGACCCCAATCCTGGCAATCGACGACGCAGGACTGGGTCTGACCCAAAATATGTGGTGATGTGGTAGAACGCATTGGGTTTGTTGTAGCTGCTGGAGTATATAGTTCTTTCTTGGAAGATGTTGGGTTCATGAAGCCACGCAGTCTGCACGGTGTATCTCTTGAGATTGCATCAGTTGTCGAATCAGAATTACTCCTTAGTCAGTTCCTCGTCGACCTACCAACCACCTACCTATGTAGGTCGTCTGCAGTCCCTTCCGTCAGCTCTCCTCAGTTCCACGCGCAGACCAGGCCCGACGCCCGCCCTCCATCCCCCGGTGGCCCTCTCCGTGTGCGCCACCCGCCACCCGCAGGACCTTCAGTGGGCGCCCGGGAGTGCCGGTGCCCTTGGCCCAGGAGATCCCGACGAGTGGACAAGTGGACAGCGTGTTCGGCGTGTTTGGGGGTGTGAAACACCGGAGGTTCCCCCGGTGTTGGGTCATGGGAGGTTGGTTTTGTTTTGTGGTGATTCACAGTGTGCTCACTGATTCATCCCTTGGTGAACAAACCTGAATCCTGTTGTTTCTTCCATTGTTTGGTTGTTGAATGGGTTAGCTACGCGCTAAGCGTCGACACAGCGAGCACGCTTCGAATTCCTGTCATCGATTGAATCCGTTCCAGGATCCGGTGGCAGACTGGCTAGGCTTGGGAGAGACCGGGCAGGACACCAGCCGAAGCTTGGTGCCAATTTTGGAGAAGTTGGCAGAAGCTACCAGCGCCCTGAGGCTTTCGGGTTTTGGTGTTTGGGGCTTGGTCTTGGTGTTTTGGTTGGCCGTCAAACGGTTACACTCCCTTCAAGGCAGTGAAAGCAGTCTTCCTGGGCCTTGTGAGTTCGGTGCTTGTGAGTTCGGTCGTTGTTTCTGAGGTCTTTTGCAGCTTCAAGTGAACACCAACCAGTTCGGCCGCACCTTTGAGGATCGAACCCACAGCTTCATCGTGATGGAGAGGTGGCACCGAGGGGCTCAGTTCTGTGGTGACTTGATGTTCGATCGTTCGAAGGATGGGGGCCAGACATTCCTTTTCTCTTTAGCTGAGCTGAGCCTCATCTGATGGAGGGTGCCGTGCTTTCCTTAGCTGACAACGTGCCGTTGTCCTCGATGGAGGCCTGCGGACGTTCCCATGGAGACGCGGATTGTGAACCTCAATGTGCGCAGCACGGCTGCAGGAGACAATAGGAGACAGTTGCCTTTGTGGAGCAAAAGCTTGCTTCTAAGCTTAGTGGTCACCAAGCTTTTGATGTGATCTTTGTCGCATGGCTATTCTAAGTTCAATTCTCCCAGCGCAAGCCGGCCTCAGGTGGCCGACGTGGGAACATTGTTCAAGTCTACCCCTCGGTGGAATATGACTTTGTCCCTTCCGAGCTCTCGGTGGAGACGCTTCGCGGACGATGCAGCGCGAAGAGATGAAGGGGACGATGAATGGAATGTTTTGGCGCACTTGACCATATGACGGTTCGAATTGGGATACTGAAGAGAGCAAACAAGGAGTTCACATCAAGGAATGGGTAGTTGTCGGGCTGTTGAGTTGGTTTGGTGTCAAGGTTCATTGGTTGGTTGCTGCTTCGACCTTGAACTTGTGCTTTGTAATCAGCTTTGCATGCCTTTTTGCTGGAGTTTTTGAAGCTCATTGAGGGTTCACGATACTGACAAATGACCGCTTGTGGATTTTGCCTGAAAGTAATCTTTGGGTGGGATGCGCTCTCCGCCAATTTGAGATGCGCCATGTACGTATTTGCTAAGTACTGGTAGTGTGAGTGCTGAAATGAGCAAGCTTGAAGATGTCCGCTACCAAGGGTGGGCACACTGCTGCACTTTCAATGGACGGGATCTGATGCGAACAACAATAACAATGCAGGCAGGATGTTTTTGGGTTTGCCACGTGGCATGCAAGCCCAGAAGTGTAAGCACATTTTGCATGAAACACTGAGACAAGAGACTGTCCCAAGCTCATTACAAAGAAAGGTGCCTTAAAGAGCATAAATTCCAAGGTCTGAGTTGCAGGTCCTGTTTCATTATGCAACTTCATGAACCTTCAATTTTTTGGCATCAACACACTGTGTTGATCGGACGCATAGGAAACTGTAGATGGACAGATAAACAATCATTCCGGCGTCCTCAACTAAGAGAAAGGTGTGCAGGGGGATTCCGCCAAAACATGCCAAAGCCCTTCTTGATCTGAGTACACCAGGGTGGAATGATTTGCTAATAGTATACATCGATAAAGAACGTCTGCAGGAAACCCACCGTTTTGGGGGGTAAAACCGGTCAAACCCGACCCATTGAGGTTCCGACAAATACTGCAAACCACTGGTGCTCACACTGGATGGTTCGAACCTGCCAGGCAATGGTCGCGCTGGCACCGATCGATCCAATTTGGTTCAGGCGTCGCGTCGCCTCCATCGTGCGGCGATCGTCCATGTCCAGTCAATTCTTTTCATGCCAAAGGCGATGGATCGAAACTTGAGACGATCATCCGGAGGAATGTGGTCGCCCCCCTCGCCAGGTGCAATCACGTGCGGAGACCATCCCATTGCCCTTGGAGAAGCACACCTTGCTCTTTGATGCGAAGAACAACCCCAACGACGAGGCAATGTCGCTGTCACAGCAGCTTCGCAGCGCGACATTTGTTTGAGAGGAAGAACGTAGCCTCTTGGATAGCAAAACCCACCCATTTGGATGCCGCACTTGCTTGTCGATGCACGCACCCACGCTGACTGTTGGCATGTTGTATCGCGCCTTTCTGGGAAGGCTAACCAGTGAGAAATGACGGTGAGACACTTGAAATATGACGAAATACACACATCAACTGTAAGGCAACGAACGAAAAAGGCAACAAAGGCGACATCGCCTGTGACTTCTAAGTCTCTTTTCAGGACACAATCCACTTGAATTTGGATGACATGAATTCATTTAAATTTGCATTCAATTGGTCAAAATGTCTAATAGTGTTAAAAGATTAAAAGATGCTAAAAGTATTTCTTTCTAAACAGCACATCTCTACCATGCCGAAGAACAGCGTCTTGTTTCGGGAATGACACTTCTTGGCGGCAGGTGGTAAGTAAGGTCTTTGGCGCTATTTCTGTATGATCAAATCACGGAGATACCGATAAGTCTGTGCTGGATTAGGCAACCCTGGGCGGCGAGAAGTCCCACCCTGATGTGTGTTAGAAATCCCAACCGGGCCAAACTGGAAGTTCCTTGTTTTTTGTATGAAGGAATGAGCATTGAATGAGCTTCGAAGGGGAAACAGTTTGAATATGCTTAACTATCCATTGAAAGGACTCTGACAAAACTCGCAGGGATCGATTTTCAAGATGGACCTTGGGATCATTATACCAGCAACAGCACGGCAGCAGCACCTGCAACACGAAGCCAGCACCAGCACCTGCAACACGCAGCAGCACCCGCAAAACGAAAACGCCGATCCCGGCGATGGCCATTGGAGTAACCTACAAAACTGCCACACTTGACGTGTCGTATTTACACCCCACAAACTTGACCCAGGCTGAGCCTATGGACTGTACAGTTCTCCTTGTGAAGTAGCATCATAAAGAGTCAAATGCCATTTGATCTTAAACATTTTTCTAGAGTCCCAAAACAACATTAGTCTTCTAATAAGGTCCCAATGCTCGCACTTGTGGGAGCATCTGTGAATGGTACCTAGTTCAATATGATCGAGGATATCAATCACAAATTGCGCATCAGTCACAAAGGTAGCAATGTTGCTGGAACTAACCAGGGCGACCGACTCTGCTGCAACAACGACTGCAAAAAACTCTGCCTGGGCAGTGCGCTGTCGCTAGCACCCTATATGTTTTCCTCTCGTTTTCTTGCAAGACAACGGCCCATGCAGCACCAGCTGCATACGCACCTCTTGGGTCGTCGCACGACCCATCAGTGTAAAGAGTTGTCTCTGGTTGAATGGAGCGTAAGCTGTCTTGGAATGTGTCTTGGTACGGGGAAGCTAGGGTGGTTGGACATGTAATTCACAGGTTGCGCACGAACAGTGGCAAATGTATCACAATCTAGCAGTTGGTAACGGTGTGTGTCGTACCATTGCGCTCCAGGCCGCAATGCCCCCATTTGATTGCCATCCTGACGTAATTGTAAGAGCCCAGATGCGACGCTGCCGGTTCTGTGAGCTCCACTAACAGTCGTGTAGTTGTGAGGGAACCCAATGGGCATGTAGATACCCCCTTTCCGTCAAGGGAGACCTCTTGACGGCGGAACGAATCCCAAGCGATGTGGTCGTCCTGTTGCGTGGCTAGTGCCGGCGAGCAAGTCACAGGGTCTACGGCGTTCGACAGCAGGGGACACCTCCCGCTCGTGACTTCACAGGAGGGCAGGCGCTTGGTGGACCGCTTCGCGTACTTGGACCAGGACCAAATCGTGACATGTCACTGGGCGGAATGACCTGAGACCCTTCAAGCCTTCCTGGCAGTGCCTGGCAGCCGTGGGTTCTCAAGGTATGCACCCAGGTGTGCGCTTGATATGATCATGAGATAGCTGCAGATAGCACATCCCTTTCTTTTTGGGGGTCGTGGGAAAGACAGTGACAGGACCCAAAGACCTTGATAGAAAGGACGCCGCTCCTTTCAATCGATGTACACTTCAGAACAATTGCTCTTGAGAGATACCGATTGGGAGAGTTCTTTCTACGGCTGTGTAAAGGCAGTGTTTGTGCCTCCAAATAACAACCTGCTGAACCGATGGGACAGACAAAGTATTTCTGTTTGGCACCTTCCCCAATTTGCTGGTTCCCTATTTTGATACACCCTCCAGAGAACGAACGCAAGCAGGGAAGCACAAGACCGCAGCGATCTCAGGTGATCCAGACACCAATGATCAGAACTCAGAGATACTTGCCTACCAAGTGTGTTGAACTTACTGATGCGCATATATATATATATAGATAGTAAAATATAGCAAAAAAATATATAGATGTAATGTAATATGATATAATATAGTATAATATAAACAATAATAAATATATATATATATATGTATAATCTGCAGAAGTCTGACATCTTGATGGCTCCAACGCGCAGATACTAGTTTGTAGAGGCAGTTGTATACATTGCATACATCTGGAGTTTGGATTAGGTGATCAGCCACATATTTTTGCATGTGGGTTGCAGGCAAAAGGAAACATGGACGGATTCTGAATGGGGGTTGCTGGGTCGATGCTGTTTGACGACTCCAAGGACCAACTGTAAGCAGCTGAATGGAGCCTCAGCTTACTTCGATGGGGGCCTGGTGGAGATGAAGACCGTGGGTGAGCACCACTTTGTCAGTACCAGGAACAACGCCTCTTGATTTGGAAGTTTCAGAAGATTTTATTCGGTCAGCCGACTGAGCACGTGGGATTTGGATGCAAGGAGCACAACATGGATTTCAAGCACAACAAAGTGGGACTTGGACACCTCTCTCAAGCCCCCACGCAAAAAGAGAAGCACCACACAAATGAACTTGTCAAGTGTGCTTCGGCTGTTGCAGCTGAAAAAGAAGCCACCACCATCAGCCCCGAGCGGTGGTTCGGCACATTCCAAGGACTTCACCAACAGATCCCACAAGGCTAGCATCAAAGTGACAGGCTTTGCCTTCGAGGGCTATGAGAACATCGCCTTGGGAGTAGGCATGGCTCGCAGTTTTCTCACCATACGGAAGCAGACACGGAAGCCTTCTCAGACGCGGGTCTTTTCGATGAGAGGTGACGAGACTGGTAGGGTCAATTTCTGTCTACCAAGTTTCCTCCCCACAGAAAAAGAATTAGGTACAGGAAAAGGGGCGTGTGGCTGATGGCACGACTGTTAATGCATTGGAGAGCAGCATGCCGAACTGTTAGCATTCCCAAATTCATATTGCAATCTGTTGGCAAGGTGCATTTTGCGCCTTGGTCTTGTTCATCTACCTCTTCGCTGTCTGCCATGCCTACAGGCACGTGATTTGCTGGGTCCAAGCTTGAGAATGCACAAGCATCGGGAGCTGATTGCGAGGGGCATATCATAAATTCTACTTACTGTAATATACTTAGACAGTTCGTCCGACAGTAGCAGTGCCGTAGAGAAACTCCACCAAAACACCTACATGACTTTGCAGAGTAGATGGCACTGGTACCCAAAGATGTCTCTTATATGGGGGTCCTCTAAACCACGGAACTTGGGGGGGCCCTTGTGCCATCTACTCTGAAACAATTGTAACTGACTTTGCCTTGTCATCTGAACCCGTCATCGGCCAGGAAACCGGGCAGTTGGCTTTTCTCCCGACGTTACCGGCCACGGTTGTTGACGTGGGTGCTGCGCAAGGAGGGACCCAGCGGGACCCAGTGAAGAGGCTAACACGCCGGAAGCTGAGCGTCGGCGTGGGCAGAGTTATATGAGTTATGATCAACGCATACGGCTAGAATCGGCTAGATACATGTATATATATATATATGTATAGATACAATATAACTATAATTATAGACATATACACTGTATGTATAGTTTTTAAGATACACTAAAAATCCTATGTGCTAAAAAGTTGCTTATCACCCAAAGAAAGAACCACTTCTGGGTACCACAGTGCCCGGGTTGCAGCTGTACAATACTTGTGGCAGGAGACCATGGACAGGTTGGTCGAGGAAAGAAGGCAGCTGGTGGCGCAGCGAAGGAGAAGCTATAGAGTCTTTTGAAGAGGTACAAGACGGTCAAGAAAGCGCCGGATCTGGTGGAGACAATAGTGAGCATCGTGTGGTTGTTTGCTTCCGTCATTGGATTTGCATGAGTCATTTTACGGCATAGTTCCATTGCTGGATCAGTGTTGGTTTGATTCGAAACTGCTTGAGTCCTTGCTATTGTTTTGGTGAAGCTGAAGTTGTATAGTTGTATGGTACTTTGGGTTTGACAGGAGGGAGTGGGCCAAGAAAGCCAATGCACATGTTGGAGACGAAGAGGGAGGCACTGACAAGGCCCAACCGCAAGCAGCTGGTATTCCAGAGGGGTCTTCTTGCCATCTGGCGCACGTCAGGCCAGTGTACATCAACGGATCAGACTGGAGGGCTTTCGATTGTTTACTGTAATCATTTTATGTATATAATTACTGTGAAACTGAGCTTTGATACGTGTCCCCAAAACAGCCCAGCCTGGTTGAGGCAGCGGAAGTCGCATTGCCAGAGGAGCTGCTGTTGCGAAATCACCTGCATGTATGTGCGAGAGAAAGTGCCGGGTTAAGCCTCAAGAACCGAGAAGAGTGTCCACCTATCTTCATTCGTTAACCCACGTGCTATATACTCCGCACTCCGCTTCTTGCGAAGCCTCATTTTCTCTCTTATTCTTGGGTCAAACAGTTTTCGATTGATGCAGTTTCTTTACTCACTCTCTCTCTCTCTCACTCTCTCTCTCTCTCTCACTCACTCACTCACTCACTCACTCACTCACTCACTCACTCACTCTCTCTCTCTCTCACACTCTCACACTCTCACACTCTCGCACTGTCACTGTCACTCACACTCTCACTCACCCTCTCCCTCCCTCTCTCTCTCTCCCTCCCCGTGTCTCCCTTCCTTCCTCCCCCTCCCTCCTTTTCCTTGCTCAGAAGAAACTCCTTGTGTTCTTATAGGTATCAGAGTAAACGCATGAGAACCTTTCCATAAAGGGGGAACCTTTCAAACCTTTCCGTTCCTTTCCCCCCCCAGGAGAGCCTGTCGTGGTTTCAGAGTATCACACGATGCTTCCGTAAATGTGGCCTGGGTGAGCAGCAGCTCACCACCCTGATGTGCCTTGGGCGTCCTGTTGGGCTGCATCAGGCGTTTTGGAACTAATGAAAGCCGCAAGATGATGGATCTGCTCACAGTTTTTCACCCGAACTCATTTTGAGTATCAATTCCAGAAATCATCCAGGGCTTACGAAATTCGGGGCTGCCCTGCAGGTGCCCTGCAGCAGGTCATAGCAGGTCCATTGGTTGATTCAGGAGAACCTAAGCTATCAGGTTTTGACCGCAGCTCATTCACATGCTGTCAGGGCCAGATGTTGAACTACTATACACACCTGTATACATATATATATATATACATACGTAGATAGACCCCTAAATAGATAGAAAAGTAGATCCGCACCAAACATGTATTGGACACTATTATACTACTACTATCTATTTGGGGACCGCTATATAACTTCTGATGACAATATCGTGGCACGACGACAATTGATCACCATGTTCTCTATTCAGCTTGATTGAATGAAGCATGCAGGCAATTTGAGTGGCTAAGGTTTGGCGTCCTGAATGTCTTGGTCTTCGCCATCGGTTTCCTTTCGAACATGGAGGGTGGCTTCAAAAAGTCTTGGGCGTATCCCATTGCCAAGGCTCATTCCTATCCGTTCTTAAGAGTCGTTTATGTATATACAGGTATGCCAAGCGACATTGATGGGAATGGAATAGGTACCCCGCTACAGGGTTTTGACACGCAGGCTCGCATCCAGATCTCTCTGTTTCTTGCTTGACATGTTGCGAGGTCATTCTTTGGCTGGCCCCTACAGAAGCTTTTTCCATGGCTCAAGCTTAGTGTGAACGCCTTTTGTGAGGCTATGATCTTGAGGTGACTTGGATGCCCCGAACCTTTAGTGCTTCCGAAGTAGCTGAGCACAACAGTGCTGCCAGCTTGTGGGTGGTGATCAACTCCAATGTCTATGATGTCACCGAGTTCCGATCGATGCATCCGGGCGGGGAGGAGCTCCTCCTGGAGTATGGAGGACAAGATGCCTCCTTTGAAGCACAACTAGGTCATGGTACGAGCCGCAAGGCTAGAAGTTTGATGTCAAGATATCTTATTGGGACTCTGGCCGAAGAGCCACAACAGATCCCGGTCAAGAGTATCATATCTTTAGAAGATATGGCAGCTGCTCATGATGCAGCGAGCGCTCCTGCTGCGGCTGCTGTAGGTGGCGGAGGCAAGATGGTGGATCTTGAGAACCTGGGAAGCACGGAAGCACCCAAGAACGTCGCATTGGATGACCTTGGGAGTGTGGTCCCCAAAAAGGCTATCGCATTAGATGACCTGGGTAGTGCTGCCCCCAAAATCAAGGTGGTTGCTCTGGATGACCTTGGCACTGCAGCTGCTCCGAAAGGCAACACTGTTGCATTAGAGGAGCTAGGGAAGCCGGGAAAGTCCGAGAAGAAGAGCAACAAGAAGGCCACCAATTTAGAGGATCTTGGCAATGTAGACTTGCCCTCCTACGGAACTCGGACTGGACGAAATCCACACCGAAAACTTACAAACGAGAAGAACATTGAAGAGGAAGATCCGAAAGCAGAAGAAGTGCAGGAAGTAGAGAAGGTTGAGGAAGTGGACGATGAAACTAAAGGCCTTGTGAAGATTCTTCTTGCCAGCTGGGCGTTGGCAAACAAGCAAGAAGATCAGCCAGAGGCCGTCAAGGTGTCAGAGGGGGAGAATGAAGATCAAGAGGAGTCTGAGGAGGAGATCATGGAGGCAAATGAGGTAGAGCCTGAGAAGAAGAAGAGCAGATGGGCAAGGATCTGGTTTCCTAAAAGCCACAGAAGGGCATCAGTTTTTTGCAAGTGCTTTCAACCAATCTACAACTAATTGTTGCACAGAGTTTGTTCGTGGTGCCACCGGCCTCCCCTGAGGTTGTCGCCCAAAATCAATCTCCGCAGCAGCTTCGAGTGGAGAACAGGAGCTTCAAATGAGAAGAAAGCGGCAACTCCCAATGACGATGACACAGTTCAAGAAGACAAAGAAGAAACAGTGCAAGCATTATTAGGCCGCTTACTCTTTTCTCTTTTCTGGATCTCGTTGTTTTGAACGCGAACATCGGCCCAATCGGGTGTTGATGCGACCAAGTAGTCGTCGCCTGGTTCATCAACCATTTCGGGTGTACAGGCTCATCTCGACTAGCAGAAGCAAAGCTTTTAGTATAAAAACCTGCCCATGTTTCACCCCATCTGGCCATCGAAAATACCGTTCAACATACACAGACACCTACAAACATCAGGCAGTCAAGTGCCTAAAAGCTACACCGAGATGTTCGAGTTCAATGCCACCGTCATGGGCTTTGGAAGACATCGGTGGCTTGGAGAAGTGAACCGATCCTTCAATGACATCGTGACGAATGCAGCGAATCGAGGGCGCTTGCAGGAAGAAACGGAAGCCACTCGGTTTGAACAAAGGGCGCTTACCTCCAGAGATGTTCATTGGGCAGCCTCTTTGTTTTTTCCCGAGATTTCACATATTTTTATTGGGTGCGATTGAACTGCCACCAGCATTGGTTCAGCTGGGTGGTTCAGCAGCGTCTATATTGAGCGACTGTAACAAGATCCGGGAAGTTCGCTGCCTTGGGAGTCAGGTACTTGCCTTGCGCATTTGCAAAACAGTGGAGGGTGAGGCGACACTGTCAATGTATAAATCTGCAATGCTGGCAGCGCTTCGCTCAATGCTGCCCAAGATCCTCGGATTGATGATAGGATTCAACCAATGTTCCACCGGTTGAGACTCCTCATGAAGCCACTGAAACGCTTTCTGAGAGTCAGAACCTGCAGACTAGGACTTGGGACCCACAGCATGAGACTGCTTGGAACTGGCTCTGGGATGCAATCGACAAGTCCCTTGACTGCAACCTCTGCACGGTGTGCAACCCAAAGCCATTTGCATTTTACTGCCCAGAAGATGTCCTTGCACATGCTCCTTTGATCTCCTTTGTACAGACGGATTGAAGCTGGCAATCACCGTGATTAAACACGCATATTCAACAGTGATCTGAACAGCTGGACGCCCGAACAGTTGGAGTGACTTTGAATCCACATCTTTGTCCTGTCCATTCCTTCCTTCCATTCCTTATCTTGGCCTGTTCCCCACAGGGAGAACTTGGAGTAGATTTCGAGATCAGACCCGAGGTGCCATAGGTCTCTAGTTATCGCTTGTGCTCCGAGACGCGAGATGTCTCGGACGGCAGGGCTTTTCCAGTCCCGGAAGCCCCGGTGCGGGGGACCCGACGCGTGGATGACATGCCTTCGCTGTAGCTCCTGATCTCTACACCATCTTTTTTTTCAAATCTCTTCCACCACTGGGTTCATATATGTTCATATTTAAGCCTCACCTGGTTTGGATTCCCGGGAAAAGGAGGGCCAAGTACTGACCCACATCAGTCCCTCATGCTTGGGTCAGTTTGGCAGTCAGGAGCCCAGATGAGCCTCGACCTGGGATGAGACCCTAGACCTGGGGCGGTGGGTTTCAGCTATTTTTGTTTACGTTTGCTTGGGATGATTGAACCCACTGGCAGATATGTTTCAACTGAGTGGAAACTACCAACCAGCTTTGTGTTGGGTGTTGGAACACGCTTTTTCATCGGAGGAACTTGCGGAACATCCTCTATAAGCCTCGCTCTTGGCAGCCAGCTCTTCTGAGACTCATGTCCAGGTCTCAAGCTTAGTAGCGAGCGGGCGACCACACAATCACAGAAGGCTGTGTATTTTAATAGGAAGACCCCCCAACCCATGGGTTTTGGTCTATTTCCCTTCTTCCAGCGATTTGAACTGGGAGGTCTCCCTATTTAAATACACACCCACATGCTTACATAGGCAGACACCGTGTCGACGCCCGTCTATTCTTGTGTGAGTAGATACCTTTGCAACTACACAAACATATCTTCGCAAAGAGTGGAACCGTTGTCCCTTCCCGGTTTCCACCTGCAAAGACACCACTGTCGATGGCCAGGTTCTCTGACAAGGAAAAGGAAGCGATGCGGGATGAAGTGTACGTGCGCTTTTTCCAGGTGCGTCCCCTCCGTCCCCGGTCCCAACCGGTTCGGTTGGGTCCCCAAAAAGTGAGGGAAACTCTCCGGCATCCTGCCTACGAAGTATATAGTTTTTTGTTTTCTGTTCCATTTTGGTTCTTTAGTTATTTGTTTTTGGGGAACATCAGAAATGCCTTGTTGCCAGGTGGCACCTCAGGGGCAGGACTTCTTCAAGCAATCCAACACACGGCTCCACTTCATCGCCACTAGGGCCATGGACATGACCTCCGAGCTCTTCAACGACCCCTGGGAGACTCCTGGACCGACATAGGTGACGGGCGACCATTTCGGTGATTTTGCTCATTCACTTCGATGTGGGCGCAGGAATGATGGGGAGAGGGGCGAAACCGAAAAAGAACGGGAACACCGGGTGTCTTGGGACGGGACTCAAGGCCGGAAGGGTCAGATCGAGGTTGGATGATGTTCGAAACAAAAGCACAAGGAAGTCACAGACACTTGGGGCCAAGGCATGCGAAAAACATACACATGAACAGTGAATATATACAGTATATAAAAGTTATATATATATATATGTACATATTATATACACAGTATAAATAAATAAATATATATATATAATGTATACATATATACATATATATATATATATTATACAAAATATAATAGATTGAACGATTCAGGATTCATGATTCTTTCATTTGCAGCAGCAAGACACTCGATGTCTGTTCTCCTGTTTTGGTTGCGCTGAGGATGACCGAGCAGATCTCAGCCTTGGGTTTGCGGCACGTGGGCTATGGTATCCCAACGCATTTGATAGAACCCTTTGCCAACTGCTTCGTGGAAGTCTTGCGGGAAAATGCACCCGGAGAGGAGACAGCTCTTGAAGGCTTTCAGTGGTCGATAGGACTCGTGGCCAAGATTCTCATCCGGGTCATCCAGGAGGGCTCAACCATCGTCATGAAGGCCGGACCGAGTGTTTTTCTTTTTGGATTTTCTCCGCGGGGAATGAAGGCTACTTTCTGGATTTGTGTCAGTGGTTCGGATTAGAAAGGAGTGCGGAACCTGCACGAAGGCAGGATGGCGTGTACATCACTTGTTCCCTTTACCATGCCAATTGGCTGGGCCAAGCTCCAAACCAAGGCAGGCGGTCAGCCAGTCAAGACCCCCCACCTGGTTCCACCTGGTGAATGGGTCCAGCTGGTTCTTCGGCGCTTTGATCTCCGTCGTCGGCCGGGTCGCCCGGTTCAACCGGGTCGCCGGGTCCCAGGCCATCAATGCCAACTCGGCGCTCCAGCTGCGGAAGGCTGTGGCCCTGGCTCCGCGTGGTGAGCGTGCTCAGTGGTTGCTTTGCATCCAGGTGTGGGATGGGTGGACGGTGTCGGCGTGGACAGGCGTGGACCGAAAACATAGGTGGACAGGTGGTGGCTTTCTGCGGGACGTGTGGAATGGGTTGAACTCCGATGCGAAACGTATTCGATGGACTATACTATACTATACTTTTACCAATATTGCCCCTTTTCGTATTCCGACACTCTACTATACTCATTCATCCAGGTCTGTTTTCCGTGCTCATCCTTGATTTGGCTATCTTCCCCGCCAGAAACCCGAACACAAAGCGGCTCGCGGCAAGCGAACCACCGGTGTCGGCGGAACAAGCCGCAGCACTTCATCCGCGGTGCGCGTGGGACGCGCGTCCCGCGGCTGGACGCAGGTGGGAACCCAAAATATTTCTCCACTCTTCTGGTCGATTGAGAGCGGCAGCTTGGAAGCTGCACGCGCCATGATCCAGGACTTGCTGACGATCCGTGCAGACCGAGACAGGCAGGGACGTAGACCGAGAGGCTTTGGAGAAGCCAAACCTACATGGTTCGGAGATGTTGAGAGGGCCTGCCATAAGCGTGGATAGGGCCTGCTAGGTACCGAACGAGCAGAGGTACTATGGTGAAAAAATATCTTGGTGCAAACATGCCTTTTAGTCTGAGGTAGTACGGAGTTAAGTTAAGCTTCTCTAAAAATCTAGCAACCAAATGATCAGTGCGAGCGCTTTTTCAAGGAAGCTGAGGTGCGCTATCCTGCGTCCAGCAGGTGGACTAGTAGCTAGTAGCGATGGCCTCCTCCCTTAACTAATTGAGTAGGCGCCTACTTAACTAAGTAGGAAGGGGGAGTGAGCGGTCCAACAAAAAGAGCTCTGAGGTACTACTACGGAGTGGATGCACTGTTTCAAGCTCATCCGGACATCGTGGAGATCTTGTGCGCGAAGGCGCAACAGCTTCTCTCAACTCTGCTGGATGGCTTGGTCTGGCGAAGCAAGCGCACGATCAATTCGTGGCGACGAGTGAACTTCTATGTGAAGCACTTGGTGGTGAGGGATGGGAAATTTGCAGGAGCATTGAATGCAATTTGTGTATCCAATGACGTGAAAATCATCTCGAACCAGGTCGTGGTGTTGCTGTCCGACACGCTCTGGGCAGGTGTTGTCCGACGTCAGTTTATCTTGTCCAAAGTCGGATTCCTCTTTAGTTTGATGGTCTTCATGTTGAGTGAAGCCATCTTGCCGAAGATAGCCTCCGCGGATGAGCTGAACATTCGGATAACCGTTTTTGCTGGCCGCATCATCAACTATGGCTTTAGCATGCTGCGGTTGTTGATTTTCCATGGAAAGCGCATCTTCAAGGCCTACAAGACGGGTGCAGTGACGCCAGGGCGATGCCCTCTGCCATTGAAGCCAAACCTGGAAGTAAGCAAGGTTTTCGTTTTGCTGGAGGTCTGTGGATACTTTTTCAATCTTTTTCCTGCTGCTTGTGTTAGGAAGGCACAAGTGTGAACGTTTCAACTTGGCACGGCACGGCTTTTTCTCCAGGTACCTCAAGGATGAGGATGCGAAGATGGGCATTTGCCTGCTGTTCTTGCTCATGGCCATGTGCGCCGGCGAACCGATGTTCTACTGCCTCCACCAGATCCCCATCACAGGACCTACCGAAAGATGCAAGGAAGCTGAAAGTGTGATGCAGCTCTACATCATCCTGGCCATGGCGGCCATGGTCTTACACTGGCTGCTGGTCATTAACCTTTCAGTCTTTGCCACCAAGTTGGCAGCCTTCGTTCTGGTGATTCGAGAAGTCTTTGGGGAGGTGGGCAAGTTTATGGTGGCCATCATCTTTATTTTGGTGACCTTTAGCAGTGCCATCGCCTCCTTGAGACATGAAGTTGCAGAGTTCCGCACGTTGCCCAAAGCGGCCAACTGCCTTTTTGCCACCACCGTGGGCATTTACGAAGGCGACTACCGGGAAATGCTCCACCAGCCAGCTCTCTTGGCTGCCGTTTTCATGTTCATCACAGTCTCAGCCATTTTGCTCATCAACCTGCTGATTGCCCAGCTGAAGCTTGTCCAAAGCGTTCCTCGAAACCCTGGTGTTCGGCATCGCTGGATTTACAAAAAGACAGCGAGGTAGCTGTCACGCAGCCTTTGCACAAGTTGTAAAACGTGCCCCAATTGAAGAATGTGCCCAATCAAAAAGCGAAAGCTCCCCAACACCCAGACATATGAAACTGGCAATTCGACAACCAAATCAAAACCTACAAGATCGTTTACAGACAAGTAGTTAACAAATGGGTATCTGCCCGAATGGCACACGCACTTTTTGCGTGGCCGTTGCGTGGTTCTAAGCTTTCTCGCACTCATGCGGGTATCAGTGTATGGAGTCGTGGAAGGGCTTACAAAGGGAAAGGGACAAAGTCTTCAATTTGGGAAGCGTGGAGTAGAACTTTTCTAGGAAGAACAGCATTGGAAAGCTGTCAGGCCCCTGTTGAGACATTTCAATCGTTCCATATTTTTTAAATCATTTTTTTCATATTCGCCCATCTTTGGGTGGCTCCCCTTGCAAGTGGTGTCACTCTCAAACCAACCGACCCCCCTGTTCGGACTGCTTGCCTTGATAGTTTGTGCGGGTGTTCCACCTCTCAACCATGTCGTTACGTCTGTGACACCGCCGATCGTGAAGCCTATTCTTGTTGACATGAATGCACATTCCCTGTACTCTTTACATCAAGGACCAGTACCAGTCACAACTCAGTACAATAATAGTATTCTGGAACCTTCTTTGAGCCCCGTTTACATTGCGGGTTCAGCAAGCGAGGAACTGCTCCTACGACTATGTCTACGGAGACATGGTGGGCTTCGCTCGCTTGGCTCGGGGCCGTTTGATTGTGGATTCGATGGTCGCATGTCCACCGACCAGGCTCGGAGGGGCCCGGAGGGCGGGGCCGGATATTTCGGAGGGTGGTCCCTCTTCTTCTTTTTCCTTTTTTTTTTCTTTCTTTCTTCTTCTTCGAACTTGGAAGAACTTCCTCTTCCTCTTCCTCTTCCTCTTCTTCTTCTTCGAACTTCTTCTTCCTCCTCTTCCTAAGAAAGTCGTCTGGTGACTAAACGGCGGAGGCATATGAGGCATCCAGTTTTCCAGGTCGCCAGGTCATCCGCTCTTGCGACACAGCAGTGATCCATGAACATGTTTGAAGTCTGGTTCATGATGTATGATGAAAAAAGGAGCAACTCAGCCTGACAGTTCACTAGATGCAGTTCAATCTCACACTTTTGATCCTGGCGCGGTCACTTCGTATTTGTGGTGCGGTCACAGCCAGCCCCTGCCATACAGCTGCCTCGTTCCCTGCCCTGCCGGAACGTTCCCCGCGCCGGGAGGTTCGTGAAGTTTGTGGCCAGCTTGCGCTTTGATCAACTCTTAGAGTTTGATGAGGGCGATGTTGGTCTGGGTGGTGGCATCCAAATCAAAGAACCTGCGAACCAAAATCCCACCTCCGACGACATCATCCAGAGGTTTGGAGGCACAAGCTCTCCTGACATGCAGTGGCCAGAAGAGGAGTTGCTTGGCAAGTTCATTTTGCCAGGTCAGGTGCAGTAAGGATTTTTGCTTTTTGTTCGTGAGTCCAAAACGAATCTCATACACTCGTAATCACCAACCAGTGTCGTCTCCCCCAAAGCTTCCAACGCCCCTCCCGACGTCCGACGTCGTTCCCCCCAAACCAAGGGGTCGATTCCTCCGGGTTCCACCGCCTCGGCCGAGGAATGAGTCCGACCGCTATGCCCGGATCAAGGCCCTCATCATGCAGCTGCGGAAGGGTCCCGAGGCGACCGACGTCGGAGATCCCGCCGCCGCGATCGATCCGATGGGGGGTGACGCGACCCGATGGATTAAGACCGGGGCCCAAAAGAGATGGGTCGAGTGGAGATGAAAACAAGAAAGATGAGTCTTGGGGAATTGCAATGTATTTTATATTTATAGAATATGTAATATATATATATATATGTATATTACATAATATGTATATTGCATAATTCACGTCGCTTCGCGACGGTAACCGCCCGCACCGCATGGAAGGGGACAATATTTCCACCGAACATAGCTCCGGAAGTGATCTCCTCCCGGTCATGTTTCGAGATAGGGATTTAACATGGCCCAGTAAGGAACACGATCTGGAACGGGGTCTTGTGCTCTTGGAGCCAAGGGAGTCAGTATGAAAGGAAGATAGGGACTTGAACGTCGCAAATCGAGGTATCTTTTCTCAAGGAAGCTCAAGATCGCGCAATTCGGCTCAATAGGAGCAGAGACAAGCAGTAACGGTTGTCCTAACGTGGCCCGACATAGTTTCTATATTCTCGAACATAGCCCCAGAACGGCCCCCCCCCACGTGGCTGAAAATAGCTTCCATATTGCCTGGAACGTCGCAAATATAAGGCTCAACAGGAGCAGAGATAAGCAGAGACAAAGTTTAGGAACGATAACAGCTTCAGAAGATTTTATCTCAAACATGTTAGGGATTTGAACGTCGTAAACATGGTCCAATGGGGACTCAAAATGGATTGGAATTTTGCGTGTCGGGTAAGCTTCCGGAAGGGAGACGATCTGGAACGGGTTCTTGTGCTCTTGGAGCCAAGGGGTACAGTATGAAAGGAATATTGTTCGGACACATGCAATGGAACGCCTTGATTGGATAGTGTAAGGTTGATGTGCAGGTTGTAGAGTTCGTTGTACGTAGTCACAGGGCTTCTGCAAGCAAGCTCGGGCACAAGACTGCAGGCATGTTGGAATGGGTCTCATCAGGGGAAGGGATGATGCTGTATTCGATAGTCCAAGGGCCTTTTCAAGTAATCGTGGCTGCTGAAGGGCCGCCACCACTGCCGGAAGTATCACGATGGGATGGTTGATCCTGGCAGTTTCGTTTTCCTTTTCAAGACCGCAGCTATTTTGGGGTTGATGCCGCAGAGCCGGTCAATGATCTGTAGGCGGGAGGTGTTTGCAGTATGAAACGAACATGGCAGACGATCACATGTTGGAATGCATGCAATGCAAACAGCATGGGATGGTTGATCCTGGCAGGGTTCGCTTTCCAAACAAGCTTGGGCTCAAAGACTGCAGCCATTTTGGTATGGGTTTCATCAAGGCAGGGGCTGACGATGCAGATCGGGTCAATGGTTTGTAGGTGGTAGGGCGACGCAGGAAACGGTCCATATTTTGAAATGTAGGCAGAGTGCTGCAGAAGGGTCGCCACTACTATCAGAAACGGGTTCTTGTGCTGCAGCCATTTGGGTATGGGTCTGATCAAGGCAGGGGATGACGCTGTGATGCAAGAAGTTGTGTTTATTTTGAGATGCATGGATTGTTTCGGTTGAATACGTGAAATATGGCACGAAAACGGGGGATTGGTGGGCAGCTGCGTCTTTGTGCCGCAGGCGTGGGATGGACCGAAGCAAGGCAGTGCAGGAGCGAAGATGTTTAGGGAAGATGTTTTGTTTGTGCTTGTTGCTGGCAGCAGTAGTCATGTTTTCGAAGCAGTCGATGTGGGTTCTGCAGAAGGCGAGAGGTGTAGAGGCAGAAGACCAGCGAGAGTGATGCAGCGAATGATGCAGTTGGGCTTAACAGCTGAGGTAGAGGGTAAGGCAAGAGAAAAAGAAGCATTCCTTGTAGTGCAACAGGATCATTCAAGTATCGGAGGGAAAGACAAAGACAACTACGTACTAGTATTCTTTGAGTGAGTGCTGACGAAGGAACTTGTGCTCTTGGAGCCGAGTGATTTTGTATCGGCTGACGCAGGAACTTGTGCTCTTGGAGCCGAGTGATTGTGTTTGGGTAGCGCGAAGTGATGGCGACATTGGTGGCGTACAATCACCGGGTAGGCAGTGTGCCTCTGCAAGACCTGTTTCCTGGCTTTGCTGTTTCAGAGCTCCGGACTCTCTATGTGAGGCTGCGTGAGGGACCACTAGAGCGGCAAGATGTCGCTATGTCAGTTCGGGTCTGTCGGGTGGATCGTTTCATCGAAACGATTCGGGAACCACGGCTCGTGAGTGACGGCTACGTCGCTGCCGTGTGTTTGGGCGAAGTCGCTCTTCCGGAAGACGGGCAGGAATGCGCTAGCCTGATTGGGCGGCATGACCTTCTGTTGGCGAAGATAAAGGAGGCGGGGCAGTTCGCTGCAGAGAACCGTGCGCCGGGGGTCAGTCGGCAGCATGTGCGGAGGCTGGAGGCCGCTGCTACAAGGTGAGACCCGGCAGTTATAGAAGTTAAGATGAAGTACAAGTTCACTATAGTGCACTATAGAGCACTATAGCTTGCTTAAGTTCCGGATAACTAAGTTATGGATTTTTTTTAAAGAGTAATAGTGAAGATATAACTTACTAATAACTTACTGGCGTTTTTCAGAGTATTGATTTTCAATTTTTTTCGTGAAGTTATCCGGAAGTTACTGAAAGTTATTTTTTACTTTTTTCCAGAGAAAGTGCGATCTTGAAGACGAAAATTAGCAAAACGTATAACATACGAAATTACAAAAAGGCACCACCCGCGCGCACGCGCAGAAGTGTTGGCTCAGAGCAATTCGAGACGCCGCGCGTGGCTTGGGAGGAGCGGCAGGACCGCTGGGCGGACGAGGGCAGCTGGCAGCGGCAGGGCCGCTGGGCGGAGGAGGCCGAGCGCGAGCCGGCTTGGCAGCCGCAGGGCCGCTGGGCGGAGGAGGCCGAGCACGAGCCGGCTTGGCAGCGGCAGGGCCGCTGGTGGGACACAGCGCAGGAAGCAGGTTGGCAGCGGCAGGGCCGCTGGGGCGTCTGGCAGGACGACGCCTGGAACGACGCCGGCAACTGGGGTGGCTGGCGGGGTTGGGAGGGTGCTGGGCGGCCGGACCGCTGGGAGGAGGCTTGGCGCGAGGAAGACACTTGGCGGCAGGACCGCCGGCCTCCGCACGTAACGCCGGAGATGCGGCAGGACCTTGGTCGTGTATCTCGAGCTGGTGGGTCCAAGTGTTGGGGATGTTCCTCGTAGTTGCCCTTCCTGACCTGTTCTGCTGTGAAGCCACGGCGCAGCCACGCCTGAATGGGCAGGAAGGGCCCGCCACGGCTCGACCGCGTCGTGCGCCGCTGAAACCGCTGCAGGGTCTTGTTGTACGCGGCCTCCACCGTCTCCCACTTCAAGCGGCTGTCGGGGTTCTGCTGCCGCTGTTCGGTGACTTGCTGGTATAGACGGCCAGCTTCTCCTCCGAGGACAAACCCGCCGGCCACGAGAGGCCGTGGCGCTGGCGCTGTTTGTCGACCGTGCGACAGCTCTGACACGCACCGGCCTGCGGCGCTGCCGCCAGGAGCCCGCAACAGACGCAGCGCGTGTGCTCGCCTGTCTCGGGCGGCGCAGCCGCCGCCTCCAAAGCACCACCGGTGGCGGGCGGACCAGCCGCCGCCTCCAAAGCACCGCCGGCGGGCGGACCAGCCGCCGGCTCCGGCAAATCCTGCGCCAAGGTGGGCTGTGTGCAGCCACGAAGGATACGGTCCGGCTGCCCATCCTGGCTCGCCATGGCGCCAACTCCCGTTCTGCAGGCTAATCCACCAAAATGCCTGCAGCGATCGCGCAGTCGCACCGCGAACAGCGGAGAATGCCCCCGGAAGAAAAACGCCCAGCAAACTCTGACCGGGGAGCTTATATATCTATATCCTATAAAATGGAAAAATTGGAGGACCCGGGGCGTCTCACAGTGGATTTCAATCTGCTTCGAACTGTCGAGCGGAAACTCGAATCAAAACGCCGAAAATCCA